TATACTAAAGGGACTGTTAGAATAACTAATTAAGTTAAACGTAGGACTACCTAAGGTCGTCCTACCTACCTATATACTTAATAGATAATAAGTGTATATAGGTTACTCTATATGCTCTATTATGCTCTGTAAAGCAGAGTAGTAGAGTAGGGCAGAGCAGATGGCGTGTTATATAGAGTGCTCTATTCCGCTAAGGTGCGGGGAACTATAGAGTAGGCTATATAACCCTATCCGAGGCAGGATCGTAACAATATCTTAGTAAAGACGACTATAGAACGGCTTTAAGCTAGATAGCGACCCTTATTAAGTCGCTTAACTTTATTTAATACTAATCTTAAGCTACTAGTTTAGAGATTAGGTAATAATATAATAATAATAATAGATATATTAGCTTATATAGAAATCTAGATTATATAACGAATTCTTTTCTTTATTTAGACGTAAAGAAATTTAAACTAATATAACCGCGATAATATTTCTAACTTAGAGTACTAACGTTTACGCCCCCTCTACTATAACCCTTCTCTTACTCGGTATAACGACTATACCTTAATATAGATATACTTCTAGTAGATTAAAGATTATATCGTTATAGTATTAGCTAATACTCTACTTAGGTTCTATTAAATTTCCGAATATCGTATAGGGCTTAACGTCTAACGGCGTTATAAGGTTAGGTAGTAGTCCTAAAACGATATTATTACGTTTTAAATCGCGGCTTCCCTTTATATCGTATCTTCTAATATAAGTTTAAAGATACGTTTCGTAAGTAAAATTTCCCTCTTATATACCTAATACGTCTCTTTACGAAACTTTAATTTTTTAATAATATCGATCTTCGATATTTAAGCTAAGTAGTAAGCGCTATTATATAACTTTTAGTGCTTAAGCGGAAATAGGGATACTTAATTCCTAGAATAGTAGTTACTATCCTAGAGCTAAAATAGATAACCTAGATAATATAGTCGTTAAATTATATAGATATATATATTTATAGGCGCTAGAGAGTAACCGCGATTTAAGGTCGCGAATTATATTAATTAAGATTCTCTTTTATATCTTAACTACGTAGGTCTATTTACTTACGTCCTCTTTATTAACCTTAAAAGGGAGGCACTATTTAACTTATACGTTTCTATAATATAGTCGAGCCTCGAAATCGCCTAGGTAGTTTCTTAGGTAAAGATCGTAATAGTAATATAAAGGCTTACTATAGCCTATATAACGGTCGTTCCCGAAGAATTAGAGCTAATTAAAGTAGAAATGCTCTATTATTAGTATCTTAGTATATACTTTCGTATTATAGCTAACTATTCTTAGGAAGAATAACTAGTTATAGAGTTAGACTTATAAAGCGGAGTATTAAGCGAAGTAAAGTAGGTAGTATATAAAGTAGTATATACTAAAGGGACTATTAGAATAACTAATTAAGTTAAACGTAGGACTACCTAAGGTCGTCCTACCTACTTATATACTTAATAGATAATAAGTGTATATATATTACTCTATATACTCTATTATACTCTATAGAGTAGAGTAGTAGAGTAAAGTAGAGTAGATAGCGTAGTTATATAAAGTGCTCTATTCTACTAAGGTACGGGGAATAATAGAGTAGGCTATACGACCCTATTATTAGTAGGATCGTAATACTATCTCCCTTCCGTACTAGCGTCGTCCTAACGCTAACGTATATAACCGACTATTATCGCTAAACTCTTTCTTAGTAAGTAATAGCCTCTTTCCGCTATACCTAAAGATAATAGTACTAAACGTCGTAAAAGACCCGCCGACTATATCGAAGAAAGAGGAACTATTATAGTAAAGCTATACGCTACGTATACGAAGTATAACCGCGCTTACTAGGTCTACTGATCTTTCGAGGTACTTAGCAGACACATATGGATTCGTAGAGGTCTATAGTTCACTGCCTTTAATCGTCCATTAGAAACTCCGACTACAGACGCGTGGCAACTGACCATGCAAACAAGCTTGCATGAATTTATCACTAACCCGCATCAGATGATAGAAATGTATATAGTTACCGCCCTTAGTCTACTGTCCACTAACAAGCTTGCACCTAGCTGCCTACTTAGGTAACAAGCCGATCTTCTCAAACGATCATAGACTCTCTCAGCGCCCAAATTGATAGTCGAGCCATCGTTCCATTCTCCTCCTTGTTCTTCGGCAAATCATGCCCGCCACTGTGCCCATAGACCTTTCTTCGATCGCTCCTACAGAACCTCGCGAGCTGTAGAGAAGCAAGCATCCGCGGATCCCGGGCGCCGTATATGTGTACAGTGGGTATTTGAATCAGATGCTCAGGAACCATCTGGTCACAATCGAGGCCAGAGATAGTAGTAGAGACCAGTAGCTGGCCAACCGATGATACGACACAACTGTTCCGATCGAACGTGACTTTCTCGTCCGTGTTGTCGTTTTTCCATCTTGCGGTACCTTTCTCGAGGAAAGCGGACCAGGATGCTTGACGCGTAAGAGCTTGCGCCGACTGCTCGTCGAGGATTTTCGCTTCTTCAGACACATTATAGCCTTGCTGTTCGAGAAAGGATAAGGGCAATCCCCCACAAATGAAGATGGCAAATTTGAACAGCGCTTCAGGCCAGGAGCTTTTGTGCAAAGCTTGATCGGCGTGGACGCGCTGGACACGAAGCAGTAGCGACCCTACCAATGCACACCCCTGAGAAAACCCGATCACGCCGTCGTAAGGCCCTTGCCTCTCAATAAGGTCCAAGAGCCACGCATGGGATGCGCCGAGAGATCGTGTAGTCGAGGAGGTGTAGAAGGAGAAGAATGGACCGGGATAGAAGTGGTCGACAGGAGGCGCGGGTTCGGATCGGAAAGGGGCATTCACGAAGTCGAAAGTCACATCCAGCCCTGTGTCTGAGTCTTGGATACAGTGGCGTAGTCTGGCTGATCTTCACTTAGCGATCTGGCTCACGTACGGGCGGTATAGAGTATGGTTCACCTGTTTGTGCTTCCAAGATGGCGGCACTTGTACCCTTGCCATGTAGGCACAATACCTTGACTCGCCGTACCTGATCACGGCCAGAATTATCAGCCATCGTCACGAAGCCTGCGCAGTACAGTTTCGCTGGTCGATAGGGTTGATATGAGGACCAAACTTCGCATCCGAGTGATTATGCTTTGTAGCTCGTCGAAGCCCGCTCGTAAAGTTTCCTCCAGTGCCTTGATTCCAAGATCGCCACACCGTGTCACACTGCTTGATTTCGCAAAAGCTGTACTAATCGGCGTGTGTCAAACTGCGTGATCGGATGAGGTGTTTCGGAGGTCCGACTCGGGCACAATGGCACGCTGCATTTCTTTCTGAGCGTCGTAGAACAGCTGGAGTGAGTTGCTCCATCCCGAGCTGAATCAACACATCATGTCTCGGCCACACAACGCGTGTTGCATCACTCTGGTTACAGACTGTTGCCGTAGATATCTTGTCCAAGGCTGTCAAGATGCGCTGCAATAGTATTCATCCTCAACCAGTGCGTGTTCATCACATGATCACTCTACAATGCATAAGTTGACTCAATCTCCAATGCAGCGGGTAATATAGGAAGTCCGACACATATGATTACACAACGGAAGGTAGGCACAAGTTCGATTTGGCAAGTGCTATGGAGATAAAACGAGACCGGTCAAAGTGATGAGTGCTTGCCAACTACGTTGATATGCCTTTCATCCATCGTTTAGTTAAGATCTAGTCCAGGCTTTTGATGCAACTCACTCATGCGGGCTTGTCCTTAGTTTGAGTGGATTGGAGAATACGCTTGATTTTGTCGTTCGTGTCGTCCACATCGATCAGGAGAATGTAGTCCAGGATCTTTCCACCAGCGGCAGTGTCCATCTCGGCGTGGGCAAACATGACAACACGATGCTTTTCTGGGTCTTCGGCAGTCTCCAAAACGTCGACGTGGAAATTTTTGAAGATGTCTTTGGTATCCAGGAAATGTTGACGTGCCTCGGCGTTGTCGCTCCCTTGGGCATCGGGTGTGCGTGGGGGCCAGAACTGATGACGGCAGTCTTCAGTACGACAACCGAAGATGAGATCCTCGTCCCAGGCGTTAAAACCGTCAATCAACTTGTAGGCAGTGGATAGGAGCTTGGATCGAGCCATCGTGTGAAGAGGGTATGAGGCTTGTGTTAAAGACTGGTGACAATTGGGTCCTCAAGGAAAATGTAATGCACACTCCAGGACCTTGGGATCGATGAGTGATGGTCCTTTATACGCATCTCGTCAAGCGACGCGCTGTTCGGATGACCGGGCCTCCGAATTCGGACACCGTGGGCTTGTCGTCGACCATATTTTTGTTACAGCTGCCAGTGCATCCTGTCTGTTGAGATTCTGTATCGGAGATGGAGGTGACCGCTTGGTGCCGGGGTCCATGTCTCCGCATACAATAATGAGCTTGGCCATGATTGGTCACATCGGGCGCTTCGCTAATAAACAACCCCTCGGACCGACCCACATAATTGTCTGATCAAAAGCGGACTAGAGCCTAGGCGCATCAGACTTGGTCTGTGATTCCAATGCAGCGGACGAAGATCAATCAAGTCGGTGACAATCAGTCCTGAATCCTACGACGCGCTAGTCGTTCTCACCTTACACAGTTGTCCCTGTCGCATCAGGGCCTTCCTCTCTGAATCTTGCTACACCACAACAAACTTTGCAGTTACGACCTACTTTTGATAGCGCTGGATCTGGAATATGGATAATACTACCACTAATCCAATGTTAGTACAGCCTGACTGTAGGCCTGCTCTTGATCGCTCTTTTGGTCCTGGTTTCTCCGGCCATTGTCGAGGTGGTTTTGATTTCACACTGCTATTCGAACAGTCCATTCTATCAGCTGGGCCGTCCATCCTGTTCCTTCTACTGGTGCCACTTCGTTTGTACCATCTCCAAATATCGAATGTCAGAGTCGTCCGAAAGCGACGACCCGACGTGGTCAAGACGGTGAGTAGATAGAGTGGTCTGCGGAACTCTTATGCTGACATGAGGCGAAGGTCCTTACAACTGTCCTAGTCATACTACATGCTACCCTCCTTGGTCTATGGGCGAGACAGTTGGATTCAGCCACTCAACTGTCCTTGCCCGCTACTACTTTGGCCTTTTTGGATGCCGTTGTGATATCGTACGTTTCTTATCTGGAACACACCAGAGCTGTTCGACCTTCGACACTGCTGTGTCTATATCTACTTGCCACATTGGTCTTCGACATACCACAAAGTCGTACACTTTTTCTTCGTCATGATCTTGATGCTATCGCCAGTGTTTTCACCGCTACGATAGTAACAAAAGCAACACTGCTCGTAGCGGAAAGTTGGCCAAAGCGCAGAATCCTTATTGCTCCGTACAGAAACTACTGTCCCGAAGCGATCAATGGTGTTTTGAGTCGCACGTTTCTCTGGTGGCTGAATCCGCTCTTCTTGAAAGGAATCAAAGGGCTCATAAATCTTCCCGACCTTTTTGACTTGGACTCAGAGCTGTCGTCTGAGAAGCTAGGGAGCCGTTTACAGGAAGCCTGGGATAAAAGAGGTAAGTTCGAGCGCTACAAAATTTTGTGTAGTTCGGGGCTGACTGAACTACATGTTTGTAGCGAAATCTGCTTCCCTTGTTTACACATGTGCAAAGGAGTTCCGCTGGGAGCTGCTGCTTGTCGTTCCCCCTCGCATGGCCTTGATCGGATTTAACTTCGCACAGCCGTTCCTGATCAGTAGACTGATCAAATTCTTGACGCAATCAGAGTCGGAAGAAACGTATAACACGAGTCTGGGCTTGATCGCAGCTGCTGCCATCATCTACCTAGGGATCGCGGTAAGTATGGCTCGACATTGCGGAATATCTTTAGCTCACTTATTACAGATATGCACTGTTCGTAATATGCATCAACTTTATCGGGTCATGACAATGCTGAGAGGCGCACTTACTCGCTTGATATCGAACAAGACGCTAGTTGTGCAGGACGGCGTTTTTGATGACTCTGCGGCCTTGACTTTGATGAGCACCGACATTGATCGCATTGCCGTGAGTCTACAAAACATGAATGAGGTCTGGGCAAGAACTTTAGAGGTTGCCATAGGTATCTGGCTGCTGGCTGAACAGTTAGGCTGGATTGCTGTCCTACCTATCGTTCTCATCGTTGGTAGGTTGTCAAAGTGACTATGCTATCCAAGTTCCAGAGAGGCTAACTCGTGTTTTCAGGCTGCGCCCTGCTCAATACACGCTTGGCAAAATTTGTCAGTGGCAAGCAGAAAATCTGGAACGGTGCCGTGCAGAAACGAATCGGAGCCACTGCTTCTATGCTAAGCTCCATCAAGACTATCAAGATGATGGGACTGTCCGGAGCTATGTCTGGTCTGATCCAGAACCTCCGTATCGACGAGATACACTCCGCCAGTGGCTTCCGATGGCTGATAGTCTTCACCAACATGATTGGTACCGACCGTTCTCTCGCTATTTCAGGGATCCCGCTCACACTTCCCAGCATTTACACCGCCCATTTGGTCACCAGTTCTGATCTTTGTCGCATTTTCTGCGCAGTCAACTAACCAGCTTACCACCAATAAAGCCTTTACTTCTCTGTCGATCCTTACTCTGACTACGCAACCTGCCTCAATGCTCCTCACCGCAATCACAGACACGGCAGCTTGTCTGGGTTGTTTCAAGAGAATCGAGAAGTTCCTGCTCACTTCATCCCGCGATGATGTTCGCCGGTCAGGAACAAGACACACGTCCGAGGAAACTGAGAGGAGTAAGACCTCCGATGATCCAGCCAGAGATGGGTTCTCTGGCACTGCAGGCATCTTGCTTGGAGATGTTCGACCTATCGTCGCTCATGGGGAACCACCAGCGCACTCAGTGTCCACTGTAGCAGACGACTCTTGTTCTTTCGAGCTGACAGTGCGAGATTGTACGGTCAGACCATCCACAGACTGCAAAGTGTCCGTCTCTGGCGTCAATATTGGTCTTGCTCGGGGTCAGATAGTCGTAATCGCCGGCCCCGTTGGATGCGGCAAGACTACCCTTCTGAAAGCCATCCTCGGTGAGATACGTCCTGAACAGGGTTCAATCTCGGTCAGAAGCAGATTAGCTGGATACTGTGCGCAGGAGCCCTGGATCCCAAACACGTCATTGCGCCAGATCATCACAGGGCTGGCCATCAACCAAGCTGTCAACGAAAGTTGGTACGCAAAGGTAATTAGTGCATGCGCGCTCACTCGAGACTTCGAGCTACTCTCTGACGGTGATTCTACCGTTGCTGGAAGCGGTGGCATAACGCTGAGTGGAGGTCAAAAGCAGCGTATAGTAAGTCGATGCCACACAACCTTCAATGACCAAGTGTCAAAGTGATTGATCTTTCGCAGGCTCTTGCCAGAGCGGTCTACAGTCGCAACAGTATTCTCGTTCTTGATGATGTGTTCAGCGCGCTCGACACCAGCACTGAGTCGACCATTATTACAAGGCTTTTCGGAAAGGCAGGTCTACTTCGCGGCACGAACACCACCGCAGTCATCGCCACTCATTCTCGTATGTATGACTGTTCAGTACCTTATGGCTTTCTGCTGACATTCGCTAGCAATGCCTCTTACTGTAGCGGATCAAATCATCGTTCTACGCAAAGACGGGTCGGTCGAGAGACAAGGCAACCTAGAGACACTCCGCGGAATCCATGGAGTCTCGAATGACGACGTACTAAATCTGCTCTCGGCTGAAAGGACAGAACAGGCGGGTCCACCACAGACTACTTCGAAGGCTGTGCGTGGCCCTTCTGCTAATGATATCAGTGACTTAACCCGCAGAACTGGTGACATTGCAGTGTACATGTATTACTTCAGATCAGCGGGATACTGGGCCCTGGCGATCTTCATCCTCTTCTCGGCCGTCTTTGTGTTCACTTCGTACTTCCCTCGTACGTCAAGCGCTTGAAGCGATCTCGCCGCATTTCCAGAGCCTATATGTGCTAACGTTCGATGGTATATCAGAGGTCTGGCTCGCCTGGTGGTCAGAGGACGACCATCCTAACTTTGCGCGTTACATCAGTGTCTACATAATCCTGGCCTTACTCGCCTGGACTTTCCGCATGGTCACTTTGGCGTACGATCTTGTCATCCAGATTGAACATGAATCAATACTGACTTGCGCTGTAGATGGATGCTTGTCTACATTTCTCCCAAATCATCGAAGACACTACACACGACAATGCTCAAGACCACACTCAAGTCTGTCCACCCTACAACTGTGCGTCGAGCCTGATCACTAACCACGTGCAGTGCACCCATCTCGTTCTTCTCGAACACAGACGCAGGGACTATCATCAACAGGTATAAGGGCTAGAGCTGGATCTGTACCTATTACTGGAGACTCGCTGACCGGGCATGTAGGTTTAGCCAAGATATAGGTCTAGTTGACCGCGTCTTGCCGCTATCGCTGGGAAGAGTACTTATCCGTGAGTGTCGCTTGCTTGACCATGGTGAAAAACTTGCTGATAAGCTATATCGCAGAGCTATGTATGACGGTAGCCCAACTTGCTCTTATCTGCATGGGATCATCATACATGGCAGCAACGATACCCTTTGTTCTACTTTCGGTATATGTGCTACAAAAAATTTACCTACTTACTTCCAGGCAGATGAGATTCCTTGATCTCGAGGGACGAAGCGCAGTCTACACCAACTTCATGGAGACACTTTCTGGCACCATCACCATTCGGGCACTTGGTTGGGAATCCACCGTGGCTGATCTAAACATCGATCGTCTTGATCGTTCTCAAAAGCCATACTATCACCTCTTTTGCATCCAGAGATGGTTGAATCTGGTACTAGATCTGATCGTGGCGGCCATGGCAGTCATCGTCGTTACCCTAGCGGTGCGACTGCCCAGCCAATCCAGCGCGGCAGCCATAAGTCTTGCCCTCAACAATATTCTTGGCTTCAGTCAGTCGTTGCGAGTGGTGGTAGATGCCTGGACTCAATTAGAGACTTCCCTTGGAGGTATCGCACGATTGAAGAGTTTCGAAGCGACGGTTTTGCCTGAGCATCAACCACACGAAAGCTTCGACCCAGGCCCAGCTTGGCCAGCACAAGGCGCTATTAGCTTTAAAGAGGTGGTTGCTTCTTACAAGTGAGTCTCATACGCCCTCCAATGTTGCGCGTATGGACGTCTGACACACATGCAGCGATTCGAGTCAGGTTCTCAAGGGTGTCAGTATTGACGTCAAAGCTGGTCAGAAGTTAGGCATTTGCGGTCGAACTGGAAGGTCAGTAACATAAGCATGATAATCCAAGTTGATACTGATTTTTCTTGTAGTGGAAAGAGCTCGCTACTCCTTACGCTGCTACGTCTTCTCGAGATACAAAGCGGCACGATCTCCATTGATGATGTCGATATTCAGAGCGTTCCTCGCAATCTCCTGCGTGAGCGGGTCGTAACAATTTGCCAGGATCCTTTCATCCTCAACGAAAGCGTTCGGAGAAACATAGATCTCATGTCGACGATGTCCGATGATCAGATCATCTCCGCTTTCGAGAAAGTCCAGCTGTGGGAATTGATCTCCTCGAGAGGTGGGTTAGATGCACACATGAAGGAGCAACCATTGAGCCAAGGCCAGCAACAGCTGTTCGCTTTGGCGAGGGCGATCCTGTCAGAAGGTCGAATCCTTGTTCTCGATGAAGCTACCAGCAATGTTGATGCGGCGAGTGACGAGCTCATGCAGCGTATCATCCGCGAAGAGTTCTCTGGGAGGACAATCATAACAATCGCTCATCGAATCGACACGATCAAAGATGCAGATCTGGTAGTAGTGCTGGACGCAGGCCTTGTGATTGAGACTGGAGATCCCAAAGAATTGCTCAAGGAGGGTTCTGGCTCCCAATTCCGAAAACTCTACATCAGCGGCGGTGGCGAATCTCGTTGAGTGTCCGGCGCTACGCAGATACTCGCGACGAAGGCTTGCCAACTCGCTCACACTGTCCAGGAATCAAGACATAGTAGAAACAATACAAACAGCCACAGCCGTCGGCGAGCTAGCTAGAAGAGCATCTCACATCGACCCTTGTATCTCAGCTTGAGCTATGCTCAATGCGCATCACATGCATGTCTCCCAGAGTCAACTCAGTGCACATCCTACCGATTGCAATGACTGACTGCGATATCGCAGTGACTGTGACCCTTAAGGCGTCCAAGTGACGGACAACTAATATCGTACCAGTACTGCCTCCGAACCATGCCTGTTAGCCGCGTAACAGCCACGATGAAATTTGAGACCTTCTCGGAGACCTTCATATCGGACATCTCGCCGGACATCTCCTCGGACATCAGCTGTGGGCAATCAAACCTGAGTTGAAGGTCTCGGTCCGGTTGGGATATATTTGCTCTGACGGGAGAGTCTCTAGCCTTGTACACTTATCATGGATTGGTCTCTGATCATCGTGATACTTATCTTGGCAGCAGCCCTCATTCTTCCACCAATCCTCGGCCAAATGGTTTCCGACACAATCAGTATCTCGAGGCCCTGGATAGTGGGCCTGATCTGTTTGGCAGTGTCAAATTGGAAAGTACTTCCCTTGGTCTGGCATGTAAGCGAGTTTGGTCCAACGACAATGGAGCTCATGCCCCTGCTGACAAGTATAGATCCGAATCTTCAGCAAGATGATCATGCATGGGTCATTCGCTAATGCCCATAAGACCCAACACTCGATCTTCAGCACCTTTACCACAAGTTCCCGCTCGCCAATGTGGGAGTGTGACTTCATGGGTCATAAATCCAATGCATCATACTATTCCGATCTCGACATTGCCCGCTCCGACATGATTCTGCGACTATTGAGCAGTGGCATGGCACGCTTATCCAAGGGACATGCGCCGCGCGCTCCTGGAGCACCGGAGCTCAAAGGAAAGGTGTTCCCAGTATTATGCGCGTCGACAACAAACTACCAACGAGAAATCGCACCCTATCAGCTATATCAAATGGAGACGAGTATCCTATCATGGGATCGAAAGTGGATGTACATTAGAACAGAATTCATTGCGGAGAAAAAGGGGAAGCTAGAGGTTTGCGCGACGGCCCTTATGAAAGTGGTCTTCAAGGCTGGACGAATCACCGTCAGCCCCGAAGTCTTGTTTGAGGCCAGCGGACTGTTGCCAATTGACGAAGAGGTACGCGCAACGGCGGAGGTCAAACGAGTACAAGGTCTTGAGCGTATCCAACAGTGTGGAATAGCGAACGAGCTCACTTGAACGATTGAAGCTTGCGGAGGATTTGGTTCCAAGTAGCAACAGATACGAGCTTTAGTCTCCGACCAGGAGGGCTCAAAGAAGTCCAAAGCAATAAATTGCCAAAATCCAGGGCTCCACTCTTGCTCGTGTAAAACAACGAATCTTCAATCCTTTGAAGGCCGTGCAGAAAGTTGGGAAGAATTCTGCCGATGTGCTCGCGATCCCAACTCGAAGGCACGATGAAGCAACAACTCTTGGCTGTATTGCTTCAAATTGCATGTGCCTTGCTTGTCTTGTAAAGCGACACGCTAGTAGCAGCAGAAATCCTTCAAACCCCACTCGGCCAATTAGCTTGTGGAGGTTTACCCGCGCTCAACATGAATCCTACAAGAATCGGACCGCATAGGCGGTGGGGCACGAACTCCTGCTACGCGCAGATCATATTATGCAGTTACATATAGTAGAGCTGTTCTTGTACATTGGCCAAGAATAAAGTCTCGAATAAAGTCTTGTATAGATGATCCGGTGATCCAGACGCTCTACACGAAGCTTTGGCTAGCCCAATGTCTTCATATTCGAACATATTGAGGGTGTAGCTTGAAATTTTCAGCGCATAGCCAAGCGTGAGACGGGCGGGCTTCGGCATTCGACTTTTTACGCTCGTGCCTCAACGCTCGTATAGGAAGTGTCGTAATTGCCGACTGTATGTTCTTGTTGAAGCCAGTATGCGCAAAATACATTGACCGGTCGAATTGCACCGCCAGCTTCTTCACAAGCATTGTTGCCAGAATCTTTACGCGAATCAGCAATCAGCTCACCTGTCGCTCGCATAGTGCCTATTCGTGGGTCTGCTGAAAGCGTTCTGCAGTCACCATGCAGCAATCTAGACTCCATTTACCCTATCATCACCAAACACGTCAGCTTCTGGTTAGGCATTGAACCTCGATAGACCTCTTCAGTTGACGCGAAGGATCTAGTAGTCGAAAACTATGCAGATCTGGTAGGGGTCAACAATCCTTGAGCAGAGTGGGGAATCGTGATAAGTCTACTAACTACTGTTGTATTATTTACTCAAGAATCCATTGCCTGCCACCCAACACCACGTTTGCAACTGACAGGAGAATTTCCATCAAAACATGTAGGACGCCTCGCTGCACGAACAGCACGGATCTAACTTTACATTCAGCACAATGACCGATGCCGCTGTCGCCGCCTATGAAGCCGTCTTGAGGCAAGATCGCCAAAGCCTGATTGAAGACGACGTTCGCAGGTTTGCGTGCGACCGCTGCAGGGGCCAGAAACTCCGTTGTGAGCGTCTCCGAGCCTCCCTTGAAGAGCCACTGAGGAGTGCACCCTGCCGCCGCTGTCTAAAAGCTCGGGCCGAATGTACTACAAGCACCCAGCCCCCGCGTATCGATCGGAGCCAGCACAGAACTCGCAGAGGGAGACCAGCCAGGGCTAGAGTCGGATCGCGGGCTGATACGGACGACGGCAGTCACGACGGCGACGAAAGCGATGATGACGCCGAGAACGAAGTTGAGATGCGGGACTACGAAGAGCCCAGACTGCTCACGCCCGCGAGGTCGAGTAACGGCTCTGCTCCGCATAAGCCGAGCACAGTCTCATCAGGTAATCCCGACACCACAGTTGTCTCTAGGACCTTCGTGCAGATGCCAATGGCATTGGGACCGCCTTCCAAAATCGGTTCTCCTGATGATACCACCATGGACACATCGCAGCCTCCAGGATTGGCGGGAGTGGACGCAGGGTATTTCGACCCTGTACACCTCTTGTTCGACCAGAACTATATGGATTCAGACTGGGCCGACATACTAGCACCAAACAATTCTGGCTTCAACTTTGATATCCAAAGGTCATCTGATCATGGTTCCAGTCTTGCTGGTAGGCCTGGTCAGCATGGACAAGCACACTCTCATGGTAACTCTGCCGCTCAGGATGTCTCGCATGATGAGACCTCAGTGACATTCCCCGAAGAGCCAACTAGCCCTCGGTCAGCACCAGCTGTACAGCGCCCTGGGATTGATCTGTCAACTAGATTGACAGAGCTCATATCATCCATATTCAACGATATCCTATCAGAGCCGGTCGAACGTCAGGGAACGGCTCGAAATAGCCGTGACAGCTGTCAAATCAGCAGGCTCATCGGAAAGCTCGAACAGTATACGACCCTCCTTTCTGAAGTCTCATCCTCGGCACGTCCGCGTCAAATAACAAACGCTACATCCCAAACGGGTCCATCTAGCTCAAGAAGACAACCTTGCGAGTTCGCTCAGTCGTCCTTGGGCTCGACATCGACAGGTTGCCCTGGTCTGCCGGCCCTCATGACTATGGTTGCCGCCTACAGCACGATCTTACAGGCTTACGAGCGCGTGTTTGACGGCATCAAGGAAGTGCTGGTTCAAAAGAGCCAGACCAAGTCATCTCTCACAGCGCTCCTTCCGCTCTTCCAGCTGGACAATCTCAAGTGCTCCGGCCACTTTGATTTGAGAGTACATATCTCGATGGAGGTTCTGCTCCACATGCTCAACCAGATAGAGGCACAGCTACACTTGATCATCACCACTTTGGAGACGTTTCCTGAAGCGACGAGGTCTAGTCTGGCTAATCTGGTGCGTAGCATGGCTTATAACGAAGGGGAACAAACGGTAAGCGTGAGTGCGTCGGTTCGTGAGAAGATGAACCACGTAAGGAAGTTATTCGTCGCCAAAAATGGAACTTTTTAGGCATGGGTCAGAGGATCATCTTCTCAAGAGACAGAGCGTGTTCCAATGTATCAAGAGTATGACATCGACAGAGACCGTATCCCCATTATCTTTCCAGTACCGTGGCCTGTTCGCTCGATTTTTCTCTGCAGGGCTCAACTTCAGCCCCAAATCATACTCGAGGGTTAGCGTCAGGTCCGGTGTCTTGCATGGCGAGAATCTCTGACCGACGACAAGACTTGCCAAAGTTGCAGATACAAGCCGTGTTCGAAGCTCAAACCATCTGTCGGATGCAGAACCTACCTAGGATGCGTGGAGGACTAGAACGCCATAGCCGAGACCCTAATCATGACCCCTCTTGGTCTGCCGACCTCCGAACCCGTCGGTCCGAACCCTTGTTCGGAGATCGTCAGCCTTCGGCGACCGTGCGTCAATTTGTGCTCGGAACGGAAACAAGGCAGTCGACAAGCTTTGATATCCTTGGACAGAGAGCTTATAGGGTGAGTCGCTTGAACCTGCCACTTCGGAGCCAGATCTCTGACCCAATTCCACAAAATGAGAGACATCACGATCATGCAATTTGATTGAGGAGACATTGGCTCACGACTATTGCTGGCAGAAGAATTGAATACATTTGCCGGGCGAATCAGAGCTTCCAGCGGCCGTGGTTCTTTTACCTTATATACTGTAGAGACCTGTAAGCTGCAATAAGCTGCTTGACTCTGGCATAGGTCCGTGAGTCGTGATGCCCGACGGTTGTCCAGGTCAGAGGATTTGATCCAATCAGCCGTGCATATGTGTCCAAACGATATACGCTAATGTCGAGTATCCACTTTAGTTTTGCTTTAACAACAGGGTGTCAGTGCGCAGCGCATGCTGCACTACGCTTTTGTGATAGTGGCGGTGAAGTGTGGAACTCGAAGTGGACACAGCGCCCATGCTCCGACACAAGGACAGCTGACGGAAGGACCCCAGACTTTCTTGTGGACCCAGACAGGAGCCTTCAATTTGTAGGCAGGCAGGTAGATATTTACGACACGCACTCTTTGCCAGCCTCCCTTCAGTCTGCATCAAACTTCTTCGACGAGCCAATCACCAACGATGGTTGTTATCAAGAAGATTGCCATCGTCGGCGTGAGTGTTGCGTTGTGATATTTGCACACATAGAACCATACTGACAACCTCACCGGCTTCGGGAAACTTTGGAAGACCAATCACAACAGCGCTCGTCCAAGCGGGTTTCGACGTTACCATCATAACAAGACCGCAGTCGACAACTTCACATCCCACTGATATACGTGTCATCCGGACTGAATACACCGTAGCTGAGCTCACCGGCGCGTTTGTCGGGCATGACGCTGTCGTCTGTGTCGTAGGTCCTGGTGGTATCAAGCATCAAGTCGATCTCATCGACGCCGCTGAAGCTGCCGGCGTATATCGCTTCATCATCGACGACTTCGGCTGGGGACCTGAGTTCAATGGGTTTCCCGAGTTCAGGGAGATACATGCCCATCGCCGTGAAGGATGGTCTCATGCTCAAGCCAGAGCAGAGGTAAATTCTCAATTTACATGGTCCGGTCTCACGACTGGCAACCCCATTGACTGGGTAAGTCCTTGCCAAAGAGATTGGCTGCGACTGTTAGTTCACACAACACAATAGGCAATGAAGAGGTTCCCATTGATGGGCTTCAATATCCCGGCACGAACTGCTCTAATCTACGATGCCGGAACAGAAGAATTCACCGGTACTACACTTCAAGGTATCGGACAAGCGGTTGTTGGCGTGATGCATAATCCTGAGGCAACCGCGAACCGCTTCCTCAAAGTGCGATCCATCCGAACCAGTCAGAACAAGATTCTTGCAGCGTTTCAACGCAACACGGAACAGCAGTGGAACGTCCAAAGGGCGGAGAGCAAAGACTTGACCCTAAGCGGCAAGCAGAAGTTCCAGGCCGGGAGAGGAGGCTGGGTTTTGGAGCTCGTTGTGGCTCAGATGTTTGATGTTGGTCAGGCCCGCTGTATCGTTGCTCCATCGAGAGGAGAATCGGATTCCGAGTTGTTGGGTGTAAAAGAAGAATCGGAGGACGAGATTGTCCGTAGACTGATGGCTTGAATGTCTTTTGGGTGGACTGTTGTTCCAGACCAAGCAATCACAATGCGCGTCCATATCCGATACTCCCAGCTGCATATGAATAGCTTAACGAGGCCGCCACGATTACTCGTAAATATCATCTTCAGCGCTTACGCGAGGTGTTTTGTCGAGCAATATCTTTCGTACTAGTGAAGCACAATTCAAACTCGTAAATAGGAATTACGACTATGTTTCTGAGTGATAACAGGGTGACCCTGACCATAGCCAGACTCGATCCTTAGCGCATGTCAACTGTATGTCGGACGGCGCAAACGGTAGTGCGTGATTTAGTCCGGTGTTTGATGCGGGAAAAGTAGCAACAGCTTCGAAGAGGTGTATGATGGTTTGACAATTAATCGTGGCCCGCCAGCTCGCGATAGACCACGTCAGATTGATTCGCACGACGACAACATAGCGAGTGAGGTTTGGGAAGAGGCAACCGAGAATTGGCACCATAATTCAGCGTGAATGAGGTAACCTTACTGTCATAAGAACTACACTGAATCTGAGCTATCTGAGACTACAACAAGGCGTATCTAACTCCCATTGGCTTGAGTGGACCTCAGAGTGCTCTTCGCAACAGCCTGCTCGGAGAAGACGACGATGGAGGGAGCCTGAAGAATATCGAACACAGAACAATCTGCCCGAACCACCGCCGAAATCCAGTTGCGTAGTTCAACAGCCAGTAGGGAGTCAATTCCCAACCGCGACAGTGGCACTGAAGTGTCAATGTCCGATTCTGGTACTGCGAACATGGCAGCTAGTTTCGAAACCAGCGACTCTGTCAACGCAACAGCGGCGTCTTTCTCATTGAGACTGACATCGCCCAGTATATCTGTCAGCGTCATTTTCCCGTTAGAATCTTGTATGCCTGCTTCGGAAGGAGACGCCTCCAACGAAGCAAAACGTGGATCCCGGGTCCAGAACTGTGCGGTGGCCTGCATCTCTCGGGTCTGTACACCTTGCTGTCGCGTCCAGGTATGTGGAATACCAGTCACGATCTGCGTGTCATCTGTGCCGTGCTTGCCTTGGCATATCGATGCTTCGATCAATCTCAAGACTTCTGTTTGGTCGAGGGCTCGCAGACCAATTCTTTGCAAGCGGTCAGCAGTTCTTCTACCTTCCTCGCCAGCAAGAACCCCGACGTCCTTGACCATACCCAGATTGATTGAGACAGTAGGTTGGCCGGTAGCGGTTCGATGATGGGCCAACGCGTCTTGGAATGTTCCAGCGGCGGCATAGTTGGCCTGTGTAGCATTGCCTCCGAATGCACTGATCGAAGATAGGATTATGAAGAAGTCCAAATCGTCTGGTACACATCGATGCAAGTTCCAGGTACCCTGAACTTTGGGTCGTACTGCTGCTTCGTATTCGACGAGGGTCATGTTCTCGAACAAGACATCCTGAGAAGTTCATTAGGAAGGTTTCATGGTCAACAAAGAGGATTTACTTACTCTGAGTACCATTGCTGCTTGTACAATACCTCTGATTGGTGGATAGTCATCTTTGACTTGACCAAGCACGGCTGACAATTGATTCTCATCGGAGACGTCACATGCCAACGTGTGGACTTCCACCTGACGATCGTGTAGAGCTGCCAGCCAATCGCAAGTTGTTTGGTCGAGGCTGTCTGCACTTCTCGACAGCAAGATGAGATGCTTTGCTCCTCTGCTGACCATCCAGTCGGTGATCGAGCGCCCTATACCACCAAGTCCGCCAATAAGGAGATAGCTGTGCTCCGCTGACAATGTTGCTACTGCAGGTTGGGACATGAGCTGGTCTATGTTTAGTCTTAATCCTCACCCTGCGTAGCGGTACTTGAAACTTACCTGGACATGTTCATTTTCAGAAGGAACAAGCAAAATTTTACCCATGTGTCTGCCAGCTTGCATCATACGATACGCACTCTCAGCGTCAGAGATTGCGAACTTGCTAATAGGCGACACCGGTCTGATAGCGTGTGTTTGTAACAAAATGTTTATGTGTGTGAATATGTCCGCGACAACATCACCACGTAGCTCACCAAGCGTGATTAGATCGAGTGCCGCGAAGGATGCGGAGCGGACAAAGGGAGCCATGCGAAGACTCTTGTTTAGCTCTAAATCGCGCTTGCCAATCTCGATGAAACGTCCAAAGGCAGCGATACAATCCCAGGATGCGGCAAGGAGGGGCCCTGCCAAAGAGTTGAGGATTACATCAATACCCTTGCCTCCGGTAGCATCCATAACATCCTTAGCAAAGCTAGCGTTGCGACTGTTTAGAATGTGGTCCTCTGGGATCGAGTACGTAGCCATGAGACGTGCGCGTTTCTCTTCAGAGCCCACGGTGACGAAAATTTCGGCACCTACATTCTGCGCCAGCATGATGGCAGCCTGTCCGACGCCACCCATGCCAGAATGGATGAGTACGGTCTCCCCACGGCAAAGACGGGCCATATTGTGCAATGCGTGATAGGCTGTGATGAACACAAGCGGAATGGACGCAGCAGTCTCTAGATCCACACCTGGAGGAATCTTGGCCACGCTTGTGTGATGAACGCGGATCGTGTTTCCGAAGTAGCCACGCAGGAACGCATACACCTTATCACCGATCTGGAAGCCTCGTGAAGCTGCTTCTGACCCAACGGCAGTGATATAGCCACTGCATTCAAAGCCCATGCGTGTCTCGTCAAGTTGACCCATAGCAACCATGACATCACGGAAGTTAAGGCCAAATGCGGCAGGTCTGATTTGAACGGCGTCCGGAGGGAAGGAGCCTGAGATCGAATCGTCGTCGATGAAGACCAGACTGTCCAGTAAACCAGGTCTCTCCACGCCTAGACGTATGGGATTCTTTGTTTCCAAGAATGGCACGCTCTTCGGAAGGCCCTCCAGCATGCTTTGATTCATGACTGTGTCCACTTCGACTCTTTGTACACACACAAGGCCCTCTCGTACCGCATACTCAACATCCATGGGTGTTTCGTCAGAAGAATCTCGTGTGAGAGTAGTTTGGAGAACCTTTGCTACACAGAGTGCATCGGATAGTGAGTATGTAGTCGTCTCACTGTCCAGATCCAGCGAGATGTAGCGGTTGAAAGGTTGCTCACAGCGTAGCGTGCGCAGTAGTCCAAGGTGCATCGCAGCGAATGGGTTAGTGCAGCCTACCGTTGCACCCTGCGAGATCCAGAACAAGCTGCTCGCACCGATGAGCAGAGTCTTGATGGATTCAAACTGGTCACTCGTAGGGTTCATCAGTAGTGGACGGTCCAGATTTTCAAGGAGGATAACATCCTTGCCCAGCAATCCACTGATCTCGTCCATCTTCTGACAGATCACAGACACCTCCACCCTTTGACGGCTGGATAGCTCTTTTTGGAGCGTGTCAAGCCAGTGTAACGAAGGTGCCACATCCGTGTAGACCAGAAAAATCTCGATAGGCTTCGAGATCATCAGTGGATTGTCCGGAGATGCAAAGACAATAGTATGGCCATCAGCGCGTCCCAGATCTAAGATCTGACAGCTGGCCTCCAGATCTGCTAACATGTTATCTCTAGTCATCAAGATTCCTCCACCAGGCTTGAGCATGGCTTTCGCACAGGCTAAATCGGCATTGGACAGCCCATTCGGTATCATAATCAGATCATAAGCTGCACGCGTCTGCAGGCAAGTGTCCCAGGTAATAGTCTCGAATTCCCTGACTCCAGATGCTGCGAATATCTCCCCAGCTTCTGGCTCGACTAAGGAGGATTCCGTGTAAGTGAGCTGCCACGTGATTTGGTTTTGGTCGAGATCGCTTGATGCGAACATATTCAAGAGGTCGTTCCCAAGCAGATGATTGCCGGCATCAATGCTGAGAACTCGTAGACGCGGTGTCTTGTGGAGTAAAAGAGAAGCCAATGTTCTCAACGACTTTGATGTCTCAAGCCCCCCTCGCATGAGGTATACTAGATAGACGAACTGCTCTGCATCCAAAAGCCTCACATCAGGCTTCCAAGTGCCTTTGAAACAGAGTTTCGTCTCATCTGCCTGTGTGATCGCTCTGGAGATGGACCCAAGCGCCTGACAATACAAGCCTTTGACTTCGAGTAGGCATGGGTATGGCGGACTGGTTCCTTGGGGGACAACTGTAGCATCTGACTCAAAACCTTGTGCTGAGGACTTGATGACCACAGAGCTGACGGAGAGTCTCGTTTCTGGGACTGCGCTCATACCACTAGTGATTCTCAAGGATTTGATGGATCTAGGAAGCATGGAGTCTTTCCAATCCCCAAGTAAGGCGGTGAATACAGCTTGGAAGACCGAATCTAGAGTGGTTGGGTGAAGGACATGTTTTTGTTGGAACCTTAGAGGCATTGTTTCCGAAGTCTTTGCAATGTCAAAGTCGCATATCGAAACACCGTCCCCGACGCGAATTGCGGAGATATTCTGGAAAATCGGACCGTGATCGAGCCCAGTCCGCTGCAGTGAAGCGTATAACTCCTTAGGTTCCACAGTCCGGATTGTCGGGTTATCCGGACGTGCAGCGGCGGTATTTGTTGATGGACCAGTAGGATTGACAATGATGTCACCCTCGCAATGAAGTGTCCAGGTGCTGCTGTCATCGATAGACATGATCCGGAAGTGTTCCCAGCCGGGTTCGAGAGAATCTTCGGTACATGGATTGAGACATAGCTGAACCTCGACTCCAGTACTGCTATCGGGTACCACAAGAGCGCTTTTGAACTCGATGCGATGTAGCTCATAGCTGCTGACCGCCGTAAACCCGTGGGACTGACGGCAGGCCTCGATAGCCATGCTCACATAGCCGGCACCAGGATAGATGATATTGGACTGAAACTTATGCTCACGAACCCAAGGAATCTCAGATGGCCGGATGATATGTCTCCAGTGTTTTGAGAAAGGGTTTGAGTCGAGAGTTGGAGTGCCAAGTAGATCGTGGACTGGTAGCTCTCTACCTCGGAGTGTTTTACTCATACGCGATTCGGCCCAGTGCGAGATATGATGGTTCCAAGGATATGTGTCGAGATCGGTCAAGACTTGCAACCCATTTGAGCCGTGAGGGAAATTGATACTTCCGAGACGCACAGGTGCGCCGCTTCCGATCAAGGTGCAGGCCATCTCCTGCATCGTTGAAACAGCATCTTGACCTCGTCGCAGGCAAGGGAGATACGTTATGGATGCCTTCTGGAGCTTTTCCATACTCAAGATTTGCCTGATAGGTCCTTGGAGAGCAGCGGCTGGGCCAATCTCCAGCAAGATGTCGATCGTCGGCGCACCAGAGGCGTCCTGACACATATTGCTCAGGCAGTCCAAGAACTCGACGGGCTGCACCATATTTCTAACCCAGTGTTCAGGGCTACTGATGGTGTCTTTTGATTCAATACGATCGCCCGTAACGGGAGACGAGTAGATGATAGAGGAATCGAATTCGCGGCCTGTGCGAAGCTCCTGACTCAAAGCGACACGATACGCATCGGCGATACCGAACATGTGGTGCGAGTGATATGCGGCATCTACGCGGAGACGTCGGCAAAAGACTTTGTCCCGGATCAGTGCTTGTTCGAGTTCTTCAATGGCTGCCAAGTCGCCAGATATAGTCACACTTGAGGGACTGTTGACACACGCAACGACTACTTCACCTGTTTTAAGTGTTCCGATGTATGGGATACATTCATCCCGAGAGAGACCTACGGCAAGCATGCCGCCCTTACGGTCGACAATTCTTTGGAAGTCAGTGGTGAGAGAACCGCGAGTATAGACGATGGCAAGCGCCGATCTCATGTCTATTGCGCCAACGGCAAAAGCAGCCGCAACTTCACCACTGGAGTGACCTGTGACTCCGCTGGGCTTGATACCCCAAGAGCGCAGCAGACAAACAAGAGCGAGCTGGAGTGCTACACTTGCGGGAAGACTGATGATGACTTCGTTGATTCGAGTCTTATGCTCGTCTTGGAGAAGTTCGCCTGTAGGTGATCGTCAGCAAAATCGCACAACGCACGAAGAGACCTATATTATATACCTATCAGAGACCAAGAAGCCCCAAGCTGGCAGAGAATATTGTCAGCCTCTTGCAGAGCATCTCGGAAGACTGGATACGTCTGGATTAGTTCCCGGCCCATGGCAAACCACTGTGCGCCCTGTCCTGAGAACACGAATCCAATCCGAGGAGCTCGAGAGGCGCGTTGAGCCTTACAGCCCTGCGCTTCGATGATGTCCTCGAGAGCAGAAACAGTTAGTGCGTATGTCCATGGAAAATGCGATCTCTTTTGGCCATAAGTGTATAGCAATCGGTCGAGCAGACTGATTTTGTTAACAGAAGATTTGAGATGCTCACTTGCGTAGCGTTGGATGTTTTCAAACTGTGCTTTCGTACTTCCTTCATCTTTAGAACTGATCCGCAAAATACGAGTAGCCTTACGGAGGGATTTGCTCGCTCCAGAGCTTCGAGATCTGGGATTGAGAGCCTGGGCTTTGAAGTGGGATAATAAGTATTCAGGATGCTCCAGGATGACGTGGGCATTAGAGCCTCCATATCCGAAGTTGTTCACCGATGCCCGTAGTTTGGCCGACTTGGGCCAGTTTTCTACAGATGTTGGGATCTAGTACGACAGGTCAACAACATATCTTACCTTATATCGCGGTCCAAAACTTACTTTGATGCCAAGTTCCTGGAAAGGGATTTTGGAGTTAGGCTGATCAAAGTTCAGATTTGGAGGGATAGAGCCCTTCTCAATAGCCATCACGGCTTTGATTATGCCGGCTAGGCCACTGGTTGCTTCAGTGTGTCCGATATTTGTCTTGACGGATCCTACGAGCAGAGGATCATCGTGGTGCCTGCCCGCTCCCAATACATGGCCGATAGCATTCGCCTCGTTGGTGTCGCCTGCTTGTGTGCCGGTACCATGAGCCTCTACGTAACCCGTGTCGCGAGGATCCAGACCGGCGCGTGCGTAACATTCGCGCATGAGTTGTTCCTGGGCTTCACGATTGGGTGAGGTCAGAGTGGGCGTCTTACCATCCTGATTTGCACCAGTCTCACGGATCACGGCTCTGATAGGGTCACCATCTCTCACTGCGAGATCTAGAGGTTTGAGGACCAGTGTTGCTATTCCTTCACCACGACCATATCCGGACGCTCTGGAGTCAAACGCGAAGCATTTGCCTTCGGCTGATAGAAGTCTTGTTTGTGCATGTCAGTAAGCACAAGAACTTATGATGAATTCGAGGAGTCTGAGCTGCTTGACTCACCCTAGTATAGTGCCAGAGATAAACATGTCTGGATTGACAAGCAGATTAGATCCACCAACAATGGCCATATCAGCCTCTCCGGATCTGAGACTCTGGCAAGCGAGATGTAAGAGAGTCAGCGTTGTCGAGCAACCTGTGTCGACTGCAATACTTGGGCCCCGCAGATCGAAGAAGTGAGACACCCGATTGGATATCATCGCCATTCCATTACCCGTCAGGAAGGATCTAGCAAGAGTCGAGGGATCGCGCATATGGTTGTCGTGAAAGTCACGGAAGCAGGTTCCTGCACACACGGCGGTCTTGGATCCTGCTACGTCTTCCATGGTCAGACCAGCGCTCTCGAGCGCCTCATATGTACATTCCAATTGCATACGGACTTCGGGATCCATTGTCTGGCCATTGGAGATTAGTAGCACTCCCGAAGATTTTCATGTCTTGACTCACAGTTGCAGTTTCCGATGTGAAGTTGAAAAATGCAGCGTCGAACGTGCTCAAATCTTGCGACAGAAAATATCCGCCTTTCACATAAGACTGGCAGATTCCCATCAGCATCATCCCTGATTACTAGTGCGAAAACTTACCGTCCCGATGTGCTCTTTGTCTGGATGATACCAGGCGTCGCGATTGAATCGGCTCTCAGGTATCTCGGACCAGGCACTCTTTCCAGCTACGCACAAGTCCCACAGCTTGTCAGGATCTGTGGCACCACCTGGTAGTCTGCAACTCATCCCGATAATTGCAATAGGCATCGTCTTTGGTGCTTCATCATTCGAGTTGATGACCCCATCGGTGATCTCAGGATTAGTGTTAGCCGGAGCATCGATTTCTCCCTGTCTGTTTCTCGAAATCATCAAGGGCATGTTTGGGTTGATGGGCGGAAGAATCTTTGGCTGCTGGCAGGAGACAGTCTTGCAGACGATTTGTATAAGCTTAGATCATTGAAGCCAAGGCTACTGGATTGTATTCAACGTCTGCTTCCGAAGATGAGAGTAAGTGTCCGATACAGGTTAGCACCAGTTGTCCGACTGCGAGCAGTACCCTCCGACATGGTCGGCGGTCCGAGCAACATGTTCGGTAATCCCGAGGACGAATAGGCACCCATTACCAAGCCCCACCGAAGGTAACGTGATCAGGCACAGAATGAACTGAGATTGAGTCTTTCGTCTACCTATGCAGAGCTATTCAGATACGTTCTGTGATATTCAATACTCTGGAGGGTGAACTGCTAGATTCCAGTCAGAGGTCGACATCTCCTCACCCCGCTGAGCGCTCAGAATCGTATCAAACAGAATCTTGAAACATTTTCCAGTGCCCTCCGAATCATATGTGAACACCTCTGAGGTTGACTTGCGTACGATGGACCTGATGGGCACCACTATGGCCGCAGTGCCAACAGCAAGTACCTCGTCAAAGTCGCGCAGCTCGGTATATTTGACCTTCAAGTAACGGTAAGCGGAGGTTCGAGACCACTCAGCTACAAATTGAATGACTTACGGGTCGTGTCTCAACATTCCAACCCAGTGCGTTCGCAAGTTGAACACAGGTATCACTTGTGACACTTTTAATGACACTTGAACTGTCCGGAATGACCAGTCTATAGCCGTCGCCACTTTTTTTGACTCCAATGAAGCCTGCCGCGGAAAACTCCTCAATTTCTGTTTGTGTGCGACTGTCAAGATGCAGGGTCAAACCGAATCCTTCCTGCTTGGCTTGTCTCTGCCATCTCATGACAGGAGCATAATTGCCTCCAATCTTTGCGGAACCGGTACCGCGAGGAGCAGCACGGTCAAATTTCTCAATGATCAGAACGTCGACAGGGGACGCATGGCCGAGCAAAGCTGCAGTTGGCTGCACAAAGACGCAGAACTTGAATTCGGTCGGGGGAATTATGTTCAGCTGCGCGCCTGTGCCCAATGCCAGAGGTCTGATGTAAAGCGCAGCAGGAGCTTCAAACGGGGGAACAAACTCCGCGTTCTGTGCGACAGCAAGCGATACGCACTGGATAAACAACTCCTTGGGTACTGAGGGTATGGAGACGTACTCGCACGAATGCTGCATGCGAGCCGCGTGCTGATCGGGCCGGAAGAGGAGGATTTGACCGGCTGAACCTCGGACAGCTGTCGGAAAAGGTTATCGAGGATCCCACAAGCTGAGCAGTGTACACAAACCTTTCATGCCTTCATATGCCTGCATGCCTGTATACCGGCATCAGTAAGGAATTTCTGCTTCTCAAATCATCACAGTCACCGTAATTGAGGGCGGACGACAAGCCGCTGATCTCGAGCTTCGAGCTTCTGACAAATACTGGTTCGCTCCAACCCGTGGGTGCCGTCCACATGCATTCCACATGACCATTGACTATACTGCATCTCAGCTTTGATCACAAGTCAGTCTAGGGGCGAGTCATACCTTCTCGACTGATTCCAACACCCAGATTGGCCCAGTCTGTATGCTAGGGTCAGTTGTCCGGCAAGTGGACAAAGTCTGATCTTCGGTACCTAGGGTCTTCGACGGCCCTACCGCAGGCCTGACCTTCGAATTGGCAGAGTCTGCTCTCGAGTCCATTGTTGTAATTGATGTCGTCTGTGTATCCGATGCGTGAAGAGATTAGTCCATACGATTGTGTCAATTTAAGCCGAGCTGATTTTGCGAGTGTCGGAAGTCCGAATCCGATGCAAATCCTTCAGACTTTGTTTATGTACGTACTTGTTATGCTCTGGAGGCTTCACGATCATCTGCACCATGACCATTCAAAGCTTGCCTGAGGCGCTGGCCGTGCCAATCACTGTGGTGGTTGGTATCGTGATCGCAGCCTTTAGTTATGTAGGTGACAACTCTGTACGAAGCCAAGTCTAGTCAACTAACACATTTATACAGCTTGCAGTTTTCTGTGTCCATAGGATATACATCCATCCTCTAGCCAAATACCCTGGGCCATTCTTGGCGAAGGTCACAAATCTCTATTCGGCATACCATGCCTGGCGCGGAGACATACACATTGACATGTGGCGATGCCACCAGAAATATGGTTGGTGGCACGAATTCCGGTAATAGATTCTCGACTGACCATCTACTAGGAGACTATGTGCGCTATGCGCCTAATCGGGTCATGTTTTATAGTGCAGATAGCGCTAGAGGTTTGTCATTGTCCTCGGATGTTCTTCGGGCGCTTCTAAACCCTTGACAGACATCTACGGAAATAAGCAAACAAACATCTTCAAGTCTAAGGTGTACGACACTCTAAGACATCGGGCCGGTAATACTTTGACGCTCAGGAACAAACAGGAGCATGCGCGCCGACGCAGAATCATGAGCTCGGGATTTTCTGATGCATCATTGCGATCACTCGAGCCTAAGATTCTGGCTCAAGTGGGCAAGCTCATCCAGGGCCTGACGGGAGACTCTCAGGATTCTTCGCCGCAAAGTTCAGTTAATGGTACTACAATCAGGAATATGGCTTTCTGGTGTATGTATGCCACTCCAGGTGTACTTCTGAGGAAACAGCTGACCGAATCCAGGTGACCATCACGCATTCGATCTGATGTCGAGCCTCATCTTCAGTACATGTTTCGACACGCTTGCTCAGCCAGACTTCCGCTACGTCCCTAGGTCCATCGAAAGCTCCAACGAACGCATGAGCGTGATCTTGCAAGCTCCAGAACTCATGCTCCGAAGATTGGACAAGAAGTTGTTTCCACGTTCGATTCAGGATCGGAATAAATTTCTCCAATTTCTAGGACACGTCATTGGTTCGAGAACCAAAACTACTGGCAAACAGTCAGGTCAAGACATATTCTCCTTTTTCGAAGACGCAAGAGATCCAGAGACTGGAGAAGGCTTCAAGACTGGAGAGCTATTGGCCGAGTCTGCTACGCTGATTGTAGCCGGCTCAGACACAACTTCGGTAACTTTGTCTGGTGTATTTCACTATCTTGGTCAGCATAAATCGGCATATGACCTTGCAGCAGCAGAGGTGCGAAACGCTTTCGAGTCCCGACAGGCAATTTCCATCGGTTCGAAGCTTGCTTCCTGCGTTTATCTCCGTGCATGCGTAGAGGAGACCCTTCGCATGTCTCCTCCTACCGGAAGCGCGCTTTGGCGAGAGGTGGGTGAGGGGGGCGCTTATATCTCCGATCAGTTCATACCTCAGGGATGTGACGTCGGTGTCGGCATATATGCCATCCATCACAATCCTGCTTACCACATCGAACCCTTCGAATTTCGACCTGAGCGCTTCCTCGGAGTTGAAGAGTACAGTATGTCTCGTCAAGCATTCATGCCTTTCTCTTTTGGTTCCCGAGGCTGCATCGGAAAGGGCTTGGCCATGACCGAGATTATGCTTACGATGGCCTCTGTCCTATGGACTTGTGATTTCAAAGAAAGCAAGGACGAAGTACTGCAAGGGGAATACGCTCTCAAGGACCACATCGTTGGAGCAAGAAAGGGGCCCAAGCTCGAGTTCTGTCGGAGAGAGTTGTGAAGGGAGCCCACCAAAGCGAGATAAATAGACGCAGTATAGTCTCATGTACCTTGTCCCTAAACTTAGGTCCCAGAACAGTTGATGTAAATAGGCTGTGACAATCTGAAGTGACGTGCGGCGTACTGACAGATCTTCTTTGGAGATAAAGCATGGGTCCGATCGGCTAGAATACAAAACATTCTTCTTGATTAATCATAGTAGATTGGAAACTTCTATCTATCCCTCGTATGTCGCTTCTGCTCTGCTGTCCACTAGATTCCCTCTCCATCGCCTCCACGCTCTCACTCATCCTACATTTTCTGCTGATCCGGAACCTGGCAATCCGACCTTGCCAGTTTATAACCTGATGGTGTTGACGATTGCTGCGATCGAGACCAACCACAGCGGAAAGTCGACAGCCCAGATACGTATGTTGTTGATCTTGAACCAGCCCTGTAGAAGTCCGACGATCTCATCGTCGCCAGTCTGTGGACTCTTCATTCTGTTCTCGATGCGCAGCATCTTTGGAGCCAGCGGTAGATGGGCAAAGCTCAAGATGAAGGAAAGTCCATACGTTATGCGTCCGTAACCGAATCCGAAGTCGCTGGGACGGACAAATATGTTGAGGAGCAGAGTCAACCTCAGTAGCATGACGACAGCCAAAACTCCCGGAAACACTCGGGCAACGGACGTTCGCAACCATATCTTGAGGACGGGAGCAGCGTTGATACGTTTGCTGGCTGTGGAGGATGCCGGAGCGTGAGGCATGTGAGGCGGCATAAATGTAGTGATAGCGTAGAACTGGGCCACACGGTTCATGAATCTGGTCACAGTCAACTTTTGCGACCGTTCTGATGGTCTGATCCTCACTTACAAGACCGTGGTCAGGATAACGGGGAGTAGTCTCAACACTTTTAGGACTACACCATCTTTGGAGAGGACTTCAGCGACCGCGAATCGGTTGTAGCTTTCCATGATATTCCTGATTCTCCACTTGATTCAGCTTCGAGAGAGCTCAATGTTGATCACAACTAGTGGACAAAGAGAATGTAACCCTAACATAAATTGTTGCTGGAAAGTCGCTGGCAAGAATTGTCACAGTGTTTCTCGCTTCGGACTTGCCGAAGTCCGACTGTTCGGATGTCAGTCCCACGGGCGTAGTTAGTTACATGTCCGAATACAATCCACGCACAGTATCAGATGTCCATCATTCGAGGATCTACTCACCTGCTGAATACATGTCTGTGTATCAAGACACTTCCAAGGAAATAATCTCGCTCGACACAGCTCACTATGCATCAATTCTTCAGATCCGAATTCTTCAACTTTGAAACTATCCGCATCCTGTCCGCGGCTCCTTTCGGCGGTGCTGATATTGCTGAATGTCTCGTCGCCTGTGGGCAGATTCGTGAAGGCGATCCTGAAAGCTGGCACAGATCATGGTACAAGCAAGCCGACAAAGTGCTTGAGCTTGCTGATCATGCCCTGCGCAGCGGAGATCGTATCTCAGCGCGACGCAACTATCTTCGCGCTTCAAACTATTTTCGAGCAAGCGCCTATATGTTCTTGAACCCGGTTATGCATCATCCTGAGCCACGCATTGCGAAAACTGCTGCGATTGTTGATCAAACTTTCGGAAAGGCGATGGAGTTACTCGACGGTGTAAAGGTCTTACGGGTCGAAATCCCTTTCGAATCGGGCTCGACCCTTCCTGGTTATCTCTATTTGCCAGTGCAGCCAGTCAATAGCAACGCCAACCACAAGACCTCCGACAAGACACCCGTTCTGGTTACGATTGGAGGAGCGGACTCGAATAAAGAGGAGCTGTACTATGTCCACGCAGCTACTGGACCAGAGCTTGGATATGCTGTGCTCACTTTCGATGGCCCTGGACAAGGAATCGTGCTCCGCGGCCGACGTGATCAGCCCACCATCTACACACGTCCGGACTGGGAAGTCGTCATTAGTCACGTCATTGACCACTTGGAAGTCCTGCAGAGAGATCATCCCGCAGTGGCCGACATCGATCTGGACCGCATATCGGTAGCTGGTGCATCTATGGGCGGTTATTATGCCCTCCGAGCAGCTGCAGACCCTCGCGTATCTGCCTGTATCGCTATAGATCCTTTCTTTGACATGTACGATTTTGCTGTCCACCACGTCGGTGTGGTCTTTTCTGCGATTCTGAAAGCATGGGCTACCGGTTGGATACCGTCTACCATAGTCAACGGGATGATGAGAACAGCGATGGCCGTAGACTTTCGCACTGCCTGGGAGGTTGGCATTGTCCAATGGTTCATGGGTGTTGAATCGCCAACCCAATCGTTGCTCCACATGCGGCGATACTCTTTCCGCGACTCGGACGGTACCAATCTGTTGTCTCAAGTGGTCTGCCCGGTGTTAATCTCCAGTGCCGGACAATCCCTTTACCTCAAGCCAGGTACAGATGCCAAGCTGATATATGATGCGCTGGACCGTGTGCCAGAGAGGAGCAAGACTGTCTGGTCGGCCACGGAACCGGAGGATGGCGGTCTGCAGGCAAAGATTGGAGCTATCACTCTATCAGCCCAGAAGACTTTCGAGTTTCTCAACTGTCAGGCACCCCTCGACGGTGTAGTGGTGACACGGACAAACTGAATCAGCATGAGGATTAGACTAGTCATGTACTTGAAAGCATATATCTGGCTGCCTAAGAAGGATTCCAAGCTTTGGTACATTTGTTCATCAATGTATAATTTCAATGTGTCTAGAGTCTGTCAAGGTGCAAAGCCTCCTCCCTTTCGTCAACGAAACATACAAGTTTCTCCCCGCTTGTTGCCTTCTCGCTGAGGATCTTGAGACCTTCAACGATTCCTTGGAAGCTACCAGGCACCACTCGAGCAGGATGGATACGAAGCTGCCCGTTATCCATGAGTATCTGTACCGCGCTGAAGTTCTTTGCTGCTTGTTGTCTGAGTTGCGGATCCGCCGCCCTCTCATAACCATGATCGAGCGCAATTTGCTTGCCTGTAGCAGCAAGACCAACAACCATTTGCGTGTCAACGGTTCTCTTGTGCGCGATCGGACTATCTGGGTCCGGCAGCTCCAGCACAGTATATGAGCCCCCCGTACGACCGAAAGCGTTTCCGCAAATGATCTGAGAACGAGCATCAGTGATGACGTCCAGGACTCGGGACAGTGAACGTGACGTGAACGTTCTGATATCGTCGGCACACGATGGCGAGCGATAGTCGAATACTGCTTCGGCACCGAATGAGCGAACCAGATCGTTGTTCCTCGGTGAACATGTCGTTATCGGCTTATAACCAGACCTAGGAGTTCCCTTCGTAAGCATTTTCAGTAGTCTAGGATTCGCTCGACTCACAACTTCAGAAGCTGGATCGCCATAGTCCCTGTGGAAGTGCTGCCCCCATAGACCAGCACATACAAACCTGAGTTCTTGTCAGGGTGAACAGGCTTTTCCAGTGTCCCCTCAAGTCTCAATGCTGAATGAAGAACAATGCTCAACGTCGAGATAACACTGGCACCTAACACAGCCCCCGATACGTGATCGATATGGTCGGGGAGCTTGAGCAACAGATCCCCGTATGCTGCTACGTATTGTGCAAAGGCACCAGTCTGCGTGTCTATAGGGTTGGAGCCGTGCACGCCACCACAAACCCGATCACCCAGCGCTATGTCATGTGAAGTTCTCAACACATCTGGTCCGATAGCTATCACAACGCCGCTGAAGTCACATCCGATCTTCGCACCGGGGGTCGGAAATTTGGCGGGCATTTTCCAATCGCATGGGTTGATCGAGACAGCTGTGACTCTCACGAGTACCATATCAGGCTCTAGCTTTGGGATCGATGCATCGTGAGTCACAATAGCCTTTCCAGCGTTGTCCTGGACTATAGCGGTCTGTGTACGAGGTAGACTGATGTCGGGTGGCTTGAAGCCGTTGGGTAGATTGAAGGTCATGACACGGCGTCAGTCTGAGATGGCAGAGGTATCGCGGAGCGCTATTGATAAGACAGAAGGTAATATGATATGAAGAGTAAGCGACGGTGGGAAGTTTCGAAGCTCAATCCATGCGTCAAAGCAGAAGTATGTGGGATTTGCGGAGGTCAGAATCCTTTCCAGTACTCGGATGCCTTTCGGACATCCGACATGCCGAACGATCTCTTCAAATCCCAGCTGATGGCTTTTGACTCGCAGCAACGCCACTGGTACCTTCTCAAGTATGTTTGAGGGCCTCCGTTCACTCTGAAAAACAATCACCGATCGCTTGGTCTCATCATGCTTCCAGCAAACTTCTCTCCTTTTCTGTACAGCCTTGTACCACAATGGGTCGCGCAGGACGCATCCACTTGCGAGCTGATCAAATTCAACGCGTTTGAAACTTTGATCAAGGGACCACTGACTGCAGTCACTGGCTCATCTTGGCCACCAGCGGCACCAAGGTTCGTCCACGGCGTCAATGCTACGGCGGGTGAACAGTGGGCATTCGACGCTACCTCTTCTGATGGCAAATCCGGACTGCTCATCGGATTCTATCACGACCCTACGTATGCTTTCCTAGGTCCTGGAAATCTGAGGCTATCCCTAGACGCAGTGTGGCCAAATGGTTCGACGTGGTCAGTAGTCGATTATCTGTCTGAGGCACACCTGAAGATCTGCAACCAAGTCACGACTGGCATCTGGAGCAAGAATAATGAGAGCACGTTCTACGCTTTCCACTTTGAACCTGAGAAGTCTCTCGTCTCCCTCGAATTCCATACTCCAAGTGTTCACGGTTCGATCACCATAAACTCTTTGCTCCCAGCTCGCTTTCCCGATGGCGCTCTCGAAAGTACGCATACCGTGCAGGCATCCACTTTCAATGCACCCGCAGTGGATTGGATCGAGATCATACCCGCAGGTCGTGCCGATGTTCGACTTTCTCTCGATGGGACCCCATTCACGTGGGCTGGTATGGGTGGTGCTGAGCGATGGTGGGCAGGTCAAGGTTGGCTAGATGCTTTCCAGGGCTGGACCGCTGTGAGGGCTGTTCTGGGTCCATATGTGCTCACGTATTGGGCACCGACTTCAAGACTCCAAGCTGGAAAGATCTTCCCGTCCGCATTCTTGGCTCGCAGGGGTCGCAAGATCTTTTCTGCATCTCGTATCGGCCCTTCAATGGATACAACCAATCTTGATCCTTACATCGAGTATCGAGCTTTCTCAGAGACCGGCGACCTTGTTTCGTCCACTATGGATCCGGGTACCAATAAGCCTGGAGTTGCCAAAGGCTACGTGCTCAGTCTGGTTGAGCCTCGAGACGGGAAGCGATGGGATTTCACCCTCCTTCACGAAAACATGGAGTTTAACTTTGACTTAGGAAACGATAATGGTGGTGTAGCTTACGTTGGAAAGGCCAAGGGTGGGGAGGTTGGGGACGATACATATGACGGTGTTTTCTTCAACGAGAAGGTGGACGTTACTAAACTAAAGGTGCCGGGCTTTTACATCATGGCAGCGACATGGTTCCATAGAGTAAAGGCCGGCATCTTCGGTCATTGATCCTTTCAGGACACGAGAATACATCTAGATCACCTATCAAATCAGTCTCATAGAGCCAACGTCGACGTGAAACCTTGCGTTTATCATATAACTGTACCTGCTTGCCTTTTCGAAAAATATGTCAATGGATTTATATTCCGAACCGGAGACATGCAACACCATGATGTCCTCTAGCTACGATTACCTAGGCTCAAAACGTATCATGGGTGCAGGAATGTTCCAGAACCCTTCAAAACGTGATTCCCTCTCCCAGTCTAGCAGCCTTGTCGCTCCATCGGGCTTCATGTCGAAATTCCACACAAGCTTTGCAAGGGTAATTCGCATCTCCATGTTGGCCAGATTAACTCCCAAGCAACCCCTCGGCCCCAGCGAAAATGGTTTTGCAGCGCCGTGATTATCCGCCGCGAAACGATTGTCGTACAGTGTATGAGCTTGTGGCAGCCAGCGCTCGGGAATGAACGATCTAGCACTTTTCCAATAATTTTCGCGACGTGTGGTTGTCCATGAGGACGTTGAGACAGTGACCTAGACATTTCTCGCATAAGCAAACGAGACATTCTCGGCGAACTTGCATTCCTTACACCTGGTGGCACGAAATGGCTGTCGACCGTGGCTCCAGGACTGATACGAGGCAACCCAAAAGCTGTCGGTGGGAAGATCCTGAGGCCTTCTTCGATTACGGCCGATAAGTAAGGCAGGGATTGCAGCTCCACATCGGTCATCTTCTTCTGATCGGGAAAAGCCTCTCGGATCTCACAACAGAGTCTATCGAGCTGTTGTGGATACCTGGTCAGATAGTAGATGATCGTCGCAAGCGCTGTCGCTGTCGTATCGGATCCAGCGATGACTAGAACGTTCGCCTGAGCAATCAACCACTCTTCGGACACGTTCCCGGACCTTTCGGACAGCAGGTTGACAAAGAAGTCTGTACGGGTTATCGAATCTTGTCGAGCAACGCGTTTCTGAACTTGTTTCTTGGAATAGTCGAGAAACAAATCGAACTTGCGCTTGATTCCACTTGGCAACACAAGAATGATCAAGGGCCATAGCCATGGCAGCCTTCGGCCGACCTCGAATAACGTTACCAAGAATGCTCCATCGTGGATGGTCTCGATCCAGAAGTGAGGTTTTGCTAGCTCCATGTCAGACTTGTTACAGCAAAGGATCCCAATGGTCCTACCTGACTGGACTGTGCCAAAAGACTCGCCAAAGGCAAGTTCTCCGATGACATCAAAGCTCAGCCAATTAAACCACTATATTTCGGTCAGCGGAAGCAACGAAAGAACTGTCGAGTTTTGCTACTTCTTTCATGTTCAGGGCAGTTCCGTTGCTGTGTCGACGAATCTGGGCTACAAACAGATCGGAGTATTTGTGCAGTATATCTTCTTGGTCTTTCAAGGCCTTTGTACTAAACCCATGTGATAGTAGTCGTCTTGTCTCGCGATGCTTCTCTGGGTCGCGCTCTGCCACAATACCAGGCTCTGGTTGCCCATGCTCGTAGAACGTTCCCTTGATGAAGGTTGATCGCTCTTTGGTCGCGTGTCCGTAGATGTCTTCATCCAAATATAAGCTTACTGATCTTTGGAAAATAGAGTACACCTGCTTACCATTGAAGCTCTGCGGCGTCGCAAATGTGAGTTCGTTTGGACCGGTTCGGACGACATCACCTTGCACAGTGGTCAGGGCCTGAGTTCAATCTGGTCAACGGGATAAGTAACATACCATACATCATGTGCATGTATTCCATGTCCCAAGGATAGCGGCCTGAGACCCTGAGAAACAGATCAATACTGAGCCTCACGGGTCATTTATGACATAGTAACATACCAATGATATGCATACCATATGTCGGTTATGGCAGCAAACTTTGGTCCAGGATATTTGGCGAGCGGATGGAAGAAGAGCCGATACACTGAGCGCACGACATAGTATATACTAGCCTGAAGTTGTTTAGTACTAAATGATATGCTATAATGAGGAATGTTCTTACAGCATACACCACGAACAGTGCTAATCCAGACCATGACGTAGATGTCAAGGTGCTGAGCAATCTGTAGGTGATAGGTAAATCACTCATACTACCGCCTCGAGGAGTTTCTGGCGATGAACACTCAAACTGCCGCTGGCCCAAACGACGAGGATGTTGTTTTGTGCTCAGAAAAAGAAAGACAGATGGATCAAGTCCGATGAGGGATCGTGGTGACAGGCTAAAAAGCTGATTAGTCGGGACCGGAGTCGGACAGGGTGTCGGAGAGCCGAACTGGTCGGACATACCAAGACCACGCAAGGTACCTCCCAATATATGAATCTATCAGAAAACGACTACATGACAGCAGAACTCTTTTTAGTATGGATCTCATCACCAGTACTCACCTTTACATTGCGGGTGGCATTGTGCTGCTGTACGCTACTCTCCTTAGATTCACTGTGGGCGGCAAGTCCAGCAAAGACGAGCCCAACCAGATCCCCCACTGGATTCCTGTCATTGGACATGCATTCAGGTTCGCCCTGAACAAGCGAGAATTTTTCCTCTGGGCAGAGTATGTCAACGACGGCTTCGTGTTCAGATATTTGCTAACACTTCGACACTCAGCCGTATCAACGCAAAGAAACCATTCACCGTTCTTCTCGGTGGTCGCAAGCACTACATTTTTAGTGATCCCGCAGACTGCGCGGCCATACACAAGAACGGCAAATCGCTCCACATCAGGGGCTTTGTGCGGTTCATCTACCTGTACATCTGGGGCTTTCTGCCTGAGGATGCCGATCGCATGTGGGAAATTAAGCAGGAATGGCATCGCATTGACCTAGACTGGCTTCTGGATCCAGCGAAGAATCGAGTCATCACCCAGACATATCTTCGCCATCTCGAAGGACAGTTCAAGGATCTTGATAACGCGCTCGAACAGTCTGAGAAGGGCGTTTTACGACAAGCAGGCCTCAAGACAGTAGTTGATCTACAGGGCAAGGCTACAGGCGCCACACTGTGGGGCGAAACTACCATGAAGCTCAATCCTGGCTTGATGGATGATCTCACTGTGATGGTCCGAGACGGATTCTGGCCTTTGTTGTTCAACGCGCCTAGATGGATGTTTCCGAAGCCATATGCAGCTCGTCAGCGTCTCCATGAAGCGTTTGCTGACATGATTACGAACATCGATGATCGCCCTGACATGTCTGTTTACGTGCAGGAACGCACTCGCTACTTGACCTCCCAGGGCATGAGCGCCCAATGCCAAGGAGCAGACAACCTTCGCACCATGTTTGCGTGAGTTCCGCGCAACCTCGTGCACGTCCGAGATGCTAACAATTAACAGCTCGCTACTCAACTCCATGCCGACAGGCTACCTTGCCCTCGTACATATCCTTACAGAACCTGGCCTTGTAGACGATGTGCGAGCCGAACTTGAGAATGCCGGCTGGGCTGATGCCGTAGCTGCCAGCGCAGACTCAAGAGATGATGCGCTTGAGCCATTGATCGCCATCATTCCCGACAAACTACCCCTCATGCGTTCGATCTGGTACGAAACTCTTCGTATCCACAACAATTCTCTCACTGTCCGCGAAGTCATCGCGCCCACAGAATTGTCCGGGAAGTCGGGCAGAACCTGGCGTCTTGAGAAGGGTGGAGTCGTTTCAATCCCTTGTGGCTTGATGCATTACAACGAAAAGCTTCATCCTGACCCGGATGGTTTCCATCCTGGACGATTCATGGAAAAGACTTTGGGTGGCGAAGGGGAGAGCGCGTCCCGCACTCTGAAGCCTTTTGGCGGAGGTAGCACGCACTGCCCTGGCCGTGTCTTCGCCGAGAAACAGATGATAGGGCTTGTGGCCGGAATGATTTGGCGCTACGACATGACCATAGTGAACAAGAAACAGAAGATTCCCAAGGTGGGAGAGTTTGACAATCTCGCCAAGCAGCCTGCGATTTGGCTTGATGTGCGCACGAGAGACTTGGCTGCTTGAGCTTGGCATTTCCCGCTCAAGTCGAACCCGCTAGATAGAAAAGCCATGTAGAATCTTACATATTGTTGCATCGACTCAATCTTCTTCTATAATTCGTGAAACTTTGCTGACTTTAGTGCATAGCGCATGTGAACCAATTGTTCATTGACAAAGGGAGGGAGGACCTTGTGTCCCAGTGGCTGTCAGTATGACCCTGCTCGGTCAGGTTCTCTTATCTTCTTCTAGGTTTACAAGTTGTAGTGCAAGTATCGTCAAGCTTTTACCTCGTGACGCTGACACAGGCAATAGTTTTGTTATGACAGGTTCGTATTCCAAGGGGTATGGATGTCAGTTTGCGAGTGTTCTTGTACGCGCGAAAACAATGTCATGCATACACAAAGGTCAAGCAATCTGGCCCAGTAACGCCATCACAAGTTGGGCGTACCAGACCCCAGCGATTTGTGTGCGACCAATACGGCTATGTTGTTATGAAATGACATTGAATTATCATTATGATGAGATCTGTAACACGGCCATGGTCATCAATTGTTAAGCGTGTGCATGACTTGACGCAGTGAAGGAGGACTCGAGAGTAAAGTACCGCAAAGGGTTGCAATCTTGGCATCACCAACACAGTCGTCACATTCTTGGGAATCACACTCTCAAGTATTGCATTCCATGTTCAGAAGAGATTCAAGCACGACTCCATGTTCATTGTACTTGATATAAATATGACGTTTCCCAGTCCCCTAGTGTCTCATTCATCACTGAAAACAAGGCAGGAAACCTCGATACTCCAACGGTCAGGTGCACCAGCTGGAGTGCGAGGGTCTCTGAAGGCAGAGTGGACTGCACGACCACCTCTGACCCCACTGTTCTTGACCAAGGCCTTGGAATCGAAGATCTGAGCTAGAAGCGCTTCGTCTTGTGAGATGCCACTCAGATAGAACCATCGCTGACCGTCGGCATATCTCGGGGCGCCGAAATCCTCTCTGTACTGTTCAGCTGGGTTAGGGTCTGAAACAGGTCTGCCCAAAGGCATGTCAAGGCCTCCAACGCCGCCGAGGTGGCTGACGAATGTCTGTATGTCATCGTCTTTGACTGTAGCAGAGCTTGCAAAGGCGACCGGGAAGGTATAGACTGGCCCGTTGAGTGGTGTCCAGAAGTGGACGATGCGGTAACGACCCTGCAACAGGCGGGGCCCTTCGACAGGGCCCATATGTCTGAGCACTCGATTGACAGCGGCAGGGCCTGTCTGATCGAGATGTGCAATCATTGCCGGAGGGTTGTAAGGTACAGGCCAGCTCTTAGAATGACGAATGCCGTGTCTGAAGATATGGACAGTGTGTGCACCTGGGATGGCTTTCTTGACCGCTGATTCGACAGCAGGGTAAAATTGAGTTTCAATGCTCTTCTCCGAGTCCCAGATGACTTCGGGGCTCCGAGGCATATCGACCAGACCTCGTAGGACTTGAATGGAATCGTGATCCAGATTGACACTATCCTCCTTGCCACGCAAATCCTCAATTGTGACCAAGCTGGGTTCCCCTCGAATGTTCGTGTAAGGCACACCAGCCGGAGGAGGATTCTTGATGAACATGTAGCCAGTCGTGCCTTTGTCGAAGTTCTGTGCAAACAGGACTGGTGTAGTCAGGTCTCCGCTCGGCGGTGCGGGAACATTCGCGGCTGCTGCTTTGTACTCGTCGACGATCCGAGAGTCGCCTAAGGCTGGGCCATTAACACCGATACCAGGCATTGTGAAGGAAGCTTTGAGGAATGATGAATTGATGGCAAAGTATGAACAAAGTCTTGTTCACAAGATTGTATACTACACTGTAAGCTAGACAATTCAGTGTTTTATCAAGGCACCGGATAGTCAGACTCGAGCAGCTGTCCGCACCTCCGAAACGACCAAGTATCGGGTCGCCGAAGCATCCTGAGAGCAAGCTCGGTGAACGCGTAGTGGCGTCTTCATCTTTCCAGAGTGACAGAGATCTTGGCAAAAACTCCTGAAAGCGAATGTAGTGAGTAACAGAGGTAGCTAGCATACACAACTGCAGTCTCGCAGGTCTCACGTTTGTAGCTTCAGGTAGGGGGAAGAACGGAGAGTTCCGCACAACATTCGGTAACATCCGTCCATCCAAGCTGTGACGCACATCCAATTGTTCCCGCGCTGCCACTCTGAACAGTCATTGTTGTGCGGGCTTCACGATGAGAATATTGGCTACTGTCTACGACCATGCGACTGGAGATCGATCTTGATGATGGAGAGCACGCCCCGATTGGGCAGATCGCAAGCAACACCGCGCAGACAGCCGATGAGTATTCCGCTCTGATGGAGCGAGCTCATACCCCGAAAGAGAGCGCCATGGCGCCTACCTGAACCAACTCCGTTCAACACCTAAGTCGCGTGGGCTCTACTGAGTTGACTGTGGATGTCCGAGAAATGGTCAAGCATTCGGCGATGTCTACACACGATGCGCTCCCTCGGGGTCGGCCTTGGCAGGCTTCCTCTTCGGAACACTAGTGTCGAGCTGTCCGATGCGGTAAGTATTCGAGATAGTCGAACATCACCCTCGAGACCATCGGATATCCGACACCTTGTAAGGTAGGACTACCACGTATAAGCATTGATTTCTTCCTTGTCACACGTGTTTCCCGAATTTTCACAAGCTTCTCCTGCGTACACATCACCCAATATGCACAGGAAAGAAGGCGAACCAATCGCTATTGTCGGCAGTGCCTGTCGTTTTCCAGGCGGTGCCAATACTCCAACCAAACTCTGGGATCTTCTCCGAGAGCCAAAGGACGTCCAGACAAGAATACCCGAAAGCCGCTTCAACCCTGAGGGCTTCTATCACCAGAATGGCAAACACCACGGCACAAGCAACGTTTTACATTCGTACCTTTTAGCCGAGGACTGCACCGAGTTCGATGCACAATTCTTCGGCATCAAGCCCGTGGAAGCAAATGCCATTGATCCACAGCAAAGGCTACTGCTCGAGACCACTTTTGAGAGTATCGACGCGGCCGGTCTCAAAGTCGACACTCTCCGCGGATCAAACACAGCTGTATATATCGGTCTGATGACAGGTGACTACGCCGACCTCCAGCTAAGAGATCCCGAGGCATTCCCTACCTACATCGCAACGGGTACAGCAAGAAGCATAATGTCCAACCGCATCTCGTACTTCTTTGACTGGCACGGCCCGAGTATGACAATAGATACTGCATGCTCTTCAAGTCTGGTGGCTGTGCATCACGCTGTGCAGACCCTCCGTTCTGGTCAGAGTCGGGTTGCCATTGCCGGTGGTTCTAATCTCTGTCTGGGTCCGGAACCATATATTGGAGAAAGCAATCTGGCAATGCTATCACCGACCGGCCGTTCACGTATGTGGGACGCTGCTGCGGATGGCTACGCTCGCGGAGATGGTATAGCCGCTGTAGTTCTCAAAACGCTAAGCTCGGCGTTGGAAGATGGAGACCATATTGATTGTGTAATCCGCGAGACCGGAGTCAACCAGGACGGCCGTACTCCCGGTATCACGATGCCTAGTGCGGCAGCACAAAAGACTTTGATCCGCGACACCTATGCCCGAGCTGGCTTGGATCTGGATCGAGTAGAAGACCGACCTCAGTACTTTGAAGCTCACGGTACAGGAACGCCCACCGGAGATCCGCTCGAAGCTGAGGCCATCAGCTCTGCATTCTTCCCATCCGAACGTCATCTGGACAAATTATATGTCGGGTCTATTAAAACTGTCATTGGACACACTGAAGGTACAGCTGGTCTGGCCGGTCTTCTCAAGGCGTCTTTGGCACTACAGGCTGGTCTCGTACCACCCAATCTTCTTTTTGAGAATCTTGCGCCAAAGGTGGCGCCGTTCTACCAAAACCTCGAGATAGTGGTCGAAAATGCTATAACGTGGCCGAAGATCTCCAAGAACTCACCAAGACGGGCGAGCGTCAATAGCTTTGGCTTTGGTGGTACCAACGCCCACGCTATCTTGGAGAGTTACGAATCGCCAAGCAAGGAGACGACCATCGCTGGTCCAAACATCTTGCCAGTCTTCTTCTCAGCCGCGTCCGAGCGCGCGCTCAAGAACACCATCGTGGCGTACGACGCATACCTCCAAACCAACCCCGACGTCGATATCCGCAGACTAGCGTGGACCGTAAACTTCCAGAAGTCCCGATTCCCGCTTTGTACGGCAATCAGTGCGACAGACGCAACCTCACTTCAGCTGAAATTGCATCAGAAGGCCAAAGACTTGGAAGCCAAAAAGTCAGATGGCTTTTATCAGATCGCCAAGCCGGGTATGAAAACCAGGAAAATGACCCTGGGCGTCTTCACTGGACAAGGTGCTCAATGGTCTGCGATGATGCGAGATTTGGTCAGAGGGTCCGCTTTTGTGCGAGAGCGTCTTCGAATCTTGGACCGTCGTCTGGCAAAACTGCCGAAGGACGATCGTCCTACATGGACTATAGTCGAAGAGCTACTGCACGGTTCTTCCCGGATTAGAGAAGCGGCTCTCTCGCAACCTCTTTGTACCGCTGTACAAATCATTCTTGTGGACTTGCTCCGCGTCGCCGGCGTGAAGCTTGATGCCGTGGTAGGCCATTCATCTGGTGAGATCGGTGCCGCATATTGTGCTGGTCTGATTTCTGCCGAGGATGCGATATGCATTGCCTACTACCGTGGTCTTTGTTCCTCCCACGCTTGTGGCGAGTCTGGCGCCGAGGGAGGCATGCTGGCCGTCGGCACCACTCATGAGGATGTGTCAGATCTCTGTTCAATGCCTGGATTGGACGGCCGCCTTGCGATCGCAGCCTGTAACTCTTCGACCAGCTTTACGCTATCTGGTGACCGTCAAGCGATTGAGTTGGCCAAGGATGCCATGGTCGATGAGGGCAAGTTCGCTCGTCTGCTGCAGGTCGACAAGGCTTACCATTCGCACCACATGATCAAGTGTTCTCAGCCGTACCTCGCAGCAATGCAGACATGCCAGATCCAGATCCAATCCCCAGAGAGATCAAAATATCCCATATGGTACTCCAGCGTTCGGGACGCAGTCATGGGCGCTGATTGTCCTGAGCTGACCGGCACTTACTGGAACGACAACATGGTGAACCCCGTTCTTTTTGCGCAAGCAGTGGAATGTGCAACCGCAGGCTGTGGACCCTTCGAACTGGCGATCGAGATAGGTCCTCATGCTGCACTCAAGGGACCAGCACTCCAAGTCATGTCAGAGCTGCTCGCCTCCCCTCCTCCTCCGTATATCGGGATTCTGGACCGGAAGAAGAATGATCTCGACGCAATCGCAGATTTCGTTAGCTTTGTTGTCCAACACAGTGGTTGGCATTCGGTCGATATGCGAAAGCTGGACCTTTCTACCACACAAGACTCAGAGCCAATGCGTCTATTGGACCTGCCTTCCTATGGTTGGAATCACGATCGTAGGTACTGGCACGAGTCCCGAGTTTCGCGAAGCTATCGGCTCAGAGAACCCATAAATCCGCTTCTTGGAGTGCGAATGACAGACGGATCGGATCAAGAGTTCAGATGGCGTAACTTCTTGAGTCCTGAGGACCTGCCGTTACTGACTGGTCACATGATTCAGGGACAAATGATTTTTCCTGCGGCAGGTTATATTTCAGCATGTGTCGAAGCGGCTAACATCATCTCGCGGGACAACCAAATCCGATTAATAGAGCTGCTGGATGTCACATTGGGCCAGGCTCTGGTCTTTGAAGACGAAAAGTCCAGGGTAGAGACTTTGTTCTCTGTTACTAATGTGCAGCACATCAATCGTGATACGTTGGAGGCCAGATTTGTTTTCTATTCGGCCCTGGGTAAGGAGACCAACAATCTAAGCCCCAACGCGAGCGGAACGTTGCGTATCGTCTATGGTTCTCCGGTCGCTGATACGCTACCTTCTCGTAAGCTCAACACTCTAGAAATGGTTGATGTTCCTGCAGACCGTCTCTACGCCGTGCTCAAAGATATAGGCTATGGCTACACCGGGCCGTTCCGCGCACTCAAGGATCTCAGGAGGAAAGCTATGGAGTCTGAGGGGCTTGTATCGCTGTCGCCGGATGCTCGTGAGCTCGGTCTCATAGTCGACCCAGCTATGCTTGACGCCACTATCCAATCCATTATGCTGGCACGCAGCTATCCAGGTGATGGAAGACTGTGGTCTCTACACGTACCACAACGTATCGATCGGGTGTCAATCAATCACAGTCTGTGTAGCAATGCTCGATCTGACCCTTACTTCGAGACATCCATCCATGAACACGACTTGGTGGGCATCATGGGCGATGTGAAAGTCATCCCGATCGAGTCTCAACACGCCATGATCCAGATGGAAGGTGTCCTGGCAGTCCCTCTCGATGCTGCAACTCCAGAGCACGATCGCGTATTTTTCTCGCAAATGTTTTGGGATCACGATACCCCAAAGGGCGACGTAGTGGCTTTCGATGGTCAAGCGTCACCTGATGATTATGCCCTAGCTTATATCCTCGAGCGGGTCAGTCATTTCTACCTCAAGAGAATCAATGACGCATTCGGGTCCGATCACCCAAGCCGGTCAAAGGGGCCATATATCGGCTTACTCAACTATGCCAAGCACATAGTACACTCTGTCATCGATGGATCGAATACCTACGCCGACCCTCTTTGGGCGTCAGACTGTCTAGAGGATATCCTGACAGTCAGTAAAAAGTAAGTCATCATCAGGAGAATACTAGCGACAATACTAACTTATGAAGGTATCCCTCGAATATCGATCTTGAGATGATGCACGTCATTGGTGAACGTATGCCGAGTGTAATCCGTGGGGAATCCAGTATCCTTGAACATTTGAAACAGGACAATCTCCTCGATCGCTACTACGAAGACGCGATGGGTATTGGCTTCTACACGCAATATCTCGCACGCCTGGTCCAGAATGTGGTCCACAGGTATCCACACATGAACATTCTCGAACTGGGAGCTGGTACAGGTGGTGCGACCAAGCACATCATGCGAGCCATCCAAGGCACGTTCAAATCCTACACCTTCACTGACATATCTAGCGGCTTCTTCGAGAACGCCAGAGAACTGTTCCACCAATATGAAGATAACATGGCTTTCCAAGTTCTGGATCTCGAAAAGGATATCGACTCACAGAATTTCGTAGAGGGCTCGTACGATTTGATTGTGGCATCGTTCGTGCTACACGCCACTTCAAACATGGAAACAACCCTCAAGAATGTTCGCCGCCTCCTTAAACCAGGAGGCCATCTCCTTATGCTCGAGGTGACAAACTTAGAGCAGTCTCGACTTGGCTTCATCTTCGGCGCGATGCCTGGTTGGTGGCTCGGAGCAGAAGATGGCAGAGTGCTTTCTCCTTGTCTGACACGCGACGACTGGGACAGCCTACTACGTAACACGGGTTTCTCAGGCATCGATAGCACCACCCCAGATCCGGACCCGTTGCCATTCCCAGCATCTGCTTTGGTCACACAAGCCATCGCTCCGGAGATCGATTTCTTGCGGAGTCCTCTCGACGTATCCTATGCATCAATCAAGTCTGGCACAGCTATGGAGACATTGTTGATTGTTGGAGGCAAGCATGTCGACGTTTTACGTCTCGTGGCTGCGTTGCAAGGACATGTGCAGGCCCATACGCAAAGGACGATTCATTGCAAAAGTCTTGAAGAACTGATGGATCTTGAAGAAGTTCCTACAGCGACCACTAGTGTCATGCTTGCTGACCTTGATACGTTCACTTTCCAGGATATGACCGAGAAACGCCTTCAGGGTCTGAAACGACTCTATGATTGTTCCCAAGATGTTCTCTGGATTACCAATGGCAGCAGAGGCGAGGAACCTCACCACAACCAAAGTCTCGGCTTCGGCCGATCCATGCTCGTGGAGATGCCACATGTTAGATCACAATTCCTGGACCTAGCAACTTGCTTGGAACCGGAAACATCTGTCCTGATAGCGGAGTTCCTGTTGAGACTGGCTGTTTTCGATCATCACACTATGCAAAAGTTCGAAGAACGCCTGGTGTGGTCGATTGAACCAGAAATGGCATTTGAAAATGGTGGCCTATGGATCCCTCGCATCAAACCTGTCCGACAAGCGAATGATCGATACAATGCTATGCGTAGAGTCGTTACAGAAGCGGTTGAGTCAAAGTCTGTACCGATCAAGATTGTCGCAAGAAAAAATGGTCTCCAGCTCCAGCGAGCTCACATGCCAAAAGATGCGCCTGTCCAGTACGTTTCGATTGACACCCAGTACGCAATTTGCAATCCTGTTCCATTGCTCAGCAAGCGTGGGCTGTACCTTGTTTCAGGTATGCTCCGGGATACAGGCTATACAGCTATCGCTTTGACGGAACAGAACGCGTCTTCTATGAGAGTGCCCAAAAACTGGGTCACTCTTTCAATGCAACCTCTCAACGCCGCTGTGCTCCAGCAAGTATACAATCAGGCTGTTGCATTTGCCGTGTTGGAAGGAATGTGTAAGGGGGACCATCTAGCCGTCTTAGATGCTGAACTTGAGTTGCTTCTGTCGATTCAAACTCTGGCTGGAGACCGGAGCATACGCCTAAGCGTCATCATCAACTCTCAACAGGCCCACGAGCGCTTCAAGTCGTTCGAGACAATTCTGATCAGTCGCTACGATTCACAAAGGAGTGTTGCAGAAAATTTACCCTCAGACGTCGCCATGTTTCTCAACGCTGGAGCCACTTCGGACCTCTCTAGCAAGATTGCCGAGTGCCTTCCTAAAGCGTGCAAGCGTTCGCACTTGAATGATCTGATATGTGCAACACCCCACCCAAATGAGGTGGATTGGCGCGAGTGCTTCTCCGACAGACTACAAAGCTTCCTTCATGGCGCCATGAAAGACATGCAACGCTTACCCTCTAGTTCTACACCTTTACTCACTGGATTTGATGAAGTGCAAGGGCTCAAACCCAATGCTCTTGAGACCCACATCATTGACTGGACGGCTGACAAGCCATGCGATCTGATGGTCCAGACCATCCAGGAACAGACGAGATTTTCTCCCGAAAGGACTTATTGGCTGGTAGGTCTTACTGGATCTCTAGGAATCTCTCTTTGTCGTTGGATGATCAAACTTGGTGCTAGGACTATTGTCTTCACCAGCCGAAACCCCAAGATCGATCGAGACACATTGGAAGATCTCAGCGCTCTCGGTGGGTGCATCAAGGTGCTTGCGGCAGACGTAACCTCGAAGCAAAGCCTACAGACGCTGTATGATCAGATGTGTAGGGAACTGCCACCGATTGGCGGCGTTGTACAAGGCGCCATGGTTCTGCATGACGCTATGCTAGCTGACATGAATGTGACACAGTTTAACAGCGTCTTGGCTCCCAAGGTCGAGGGTAGCAAGAATCTGGACTCTATCTTCAATGAGGATTCTTTAGACTTTTTCATCATGTTCTCGTCTGCTACCTGTGTCACCGGCAACATCGGTCAATCGGCCTACTCTGTCGCAAATATGTTCATGACTGGCCTAGCAGCTCAAAGACGTAAGCGAGGACTTTGTGGATCTGCCATAAACATCGGTGCAATTCTCGGAATTGGATATGTCACAAGAGAGACATCTCAAGAGCTGCAGAATAATTTGCTCAAGAGTGGCCACGTGTGGATGTCAGAGGAGGACCTACACACGCTTTTCGCAGAAGCTATTCTAGCTGGTCATCCCGCTCGTGGACTGACGCCTGAGCTAAATAGTGGATTGCGCGTCATCCACGCGGCAGATAAGCAAAAGCCTCTCTGGTCTTTCAGTCCAAAGTTCTCACATCTCGTCAAGCCTGGAGGACTCACTGGTCCGATCAAGAACCAAGTGGGGATCAGAATTCCAGTCATCGCATTGCTGGAAGTGGCGCCAGACGCTGATACCGCGATGTCAATCTTAAGAGGTATGTAGAGGGTCCATACACTCATTATACGGAGCTGACACAATCACAGAGGCACTGATACGCAAACTTGTCACTATGCTTCAGCTAGACGATTCAATGAGTCATAGCAGCATACTAGACATGAAGGCAGATGACTTGGGCATCGACTCACTAAACGCTGTAGAGCTCCGGTCTTGGATCTTTAAAGAGTTCAAGACAGACGTTCCTGTCTTGCGAATCTTAGGAGGTGCAACCATTCTGGATCTTCTGGTCTTCGTTCTGGAGAAAATGCCATCTGAGCTCGTACCTCTTGTTGGATCAGAAAGACAGTCAGCAAATCCCATGGCGCATGCCACCTTGATGGACGTGCTACCGGACAACACGTCTGAGCTGGGTCTAGCTCTTGATGCAGCAGCGTCAGATGCGCTGGAGGGAGGCATTGACGATATTATCGCCTTTGAACAGGAAGATTCGGAACAGGCAACGTTCAAGCCACAGCCTAAGAGCGCGTTCACCGCAGAAGTCTCCACCAGCCGTGTCATGAGAGATGTCTCATCTACCGACAGCGAGAGTGAGATCTCAACTGGACCGACGACACCCAGCGCAAGTCTTTACATCGAACCCACCAAACAGGATAGCCCGAGGGCATCCCTGGAGAGATCACTTCCAATGTCCTCAGCCCAGTCCAATTTTTGGTTCCTGAGACATTACATTGAAGATCAATCCACTTTTAATATTACCGTTACGCTCCAGGTCAATGGAAAGATTTGCCTTGCGGACTTGGAGCGTGCTGTATCTGCCATTGGTCAACGTCACGAGGCGCTTCGTACAGCGTTCTTCCTTGACGAGCTTGAGCAGCCGATGCAGGGAATCCTCATGGAAAGCCAGTTGAGATTGGAGCAAGAGTCCTTCGCAAATGAGGCTCAACTCCAATCGATCATGGGAAAAATCAAAGGTCACGAATACAATCTCGAGGCGGGAGAGATCATGAGAATCATCCATATATCTTCCGAGACTGAAAAGAGCTCTCCGTCATATCTGGTTGTTGGCTACCACCACATCAACATGGATGGTATCAGCTTCCAGATCGTCCTCGATGACTTGCGTAGGTCTTACGAGAGAAGGCCGCTCACCCCGGGGATCTTACAGTATCCTGACTACGGTGTCCGCCAACGCGAGCAAGCAGTTCGAGGAGAGTGGGATGACGATATCAGATACTGGAAGAACCAATTCCAAGAGCTGCCCTCAGCATTGCCCTTGTTGCCCGTCACAAGCATCAAACAAAGAAAGGCTCTCATGCATTACAGTCATCTCAAAGTCGAGTTCAAGGTCGGCAATGAGATGGCACGAAACATTCACCGTACCTGTAAGGAGCTCAAGATCAGTCCTTATCATTTCTACTTGGCTGCTTTCCACGTCCTTCTCGCACGATACTCATCTACTTCTGACTTATGTATCGGTGTCGCTGATGGCGGCCGAGTGGAAAACGACACGATGACTGCTGTCGGTCTTTTCCTCAATGTTCTGCCATTGCGTTCTCGATACAACCCGCTCCACTCATTCAAAGATACAGCAAAGGAGATCAAGGCTCAAGCTTACGCGGGTATGGCCCATTCACGTCTAGCGTTCGATGCCCTGCTTGCAGAGTTGAACGTCCCTCGATCAGCATCTCAGAGCCCACTCTTCCAGGCATTCGTCGATTATCGCCAATCCATTGAGGAAACCCAGACTTTTGGTCATTGCACTTTGAAGGGCTACGATTACGAAGTGGGCCGAACCTCTTATGACATAGCGCTCGATGTGTCAGACAACTCGCGTGGCGAAGCAGTCTTGGTGCTCGCAGTGCAAGAAAGCCTTTATTCACAGGAGGCAGCGCAGATCTTGATGAGATCTTATACCAGACTGCTTCATCAGTTCTGTGAGAATCCGCTTGCAAAGCTGGAGAGTCTGAATCTGCACTGGGAGCAGGACGTCGAGAAGGCTGTCAGCGCTGGATGTGGTAAGCTGGTAACAATAACAACCGCAGTCAATCATTAGCTAACAACTCTATCTGCATAGGATCCACCAAGTCAAGTCTTTGGAAGAAGACACTGCCCCATCAAGTCAACGAGATGGCCCATTTGTATCCGGACAACCTGGCCTTAAAGGATGCTTTAGGCAAATCACTCACTTACCGGGCGATGACAACGCGGGTCAATGAGATTGCTGCCGCCATCCTGCAATCTAGTGCTTCATCGGGCTCGACCGTTGGCGTCCTGCAAGATGCCACAGCTGATTGGATATGCTCAATGCTTGCGATCATGTGGACAGGGCGTGTCTATTTGCCACTTGATCTCAGAGTGGGGTTGCCACGACTGGCTTCGGCTGTTGCTGACTCCAAGCCTTCACTTATACTTCACGACAATATTATGCAACACCACCTGGCAGACGTTGTAGGCACGTCGAAAGTTGGGACTATCAATATCGAAGCGCCCGCTCGATCCGCAGCTACAACCGTCGAAATTCAGACTGATCCTCTATCGCCTGCAGTTATCTTGTATACCAGTGGGTCTACAGGTGACCCGAAAGGTGTCCTGCTGGCTCATGTCGGCTTACTCAACAACATCGAAGGCTGTTCTGATCAATTCAAGCTGGGTCCCAACGACTTGGGTCTGCAGCAGATTGCCTTCTCCTTCGACTTTTCCGTCTGGCAGATCTTTATGTGTCTCGCAAACGGAGCTGGCATCTTCATTGCGCCTACGAGTGCGCGCAGGGATCCGAAAGCCCTTACCGCACTGATAGTGGAGGAAGGCATCACTTTCACAGGCGCAACTCCATCTGAATATATCAGCTGGTTGCGTCACGGTGATCCCTTAGCCATGCGGGCCTCTTCATGGGCTTGGGCTGTCAGTTCTGGTGAGCAAATGACAGATGTGATGAAACGACAATTCAATACCCTGGCAAAACCTGATCTGAAGCTCTTCAATGGATACGGTCCCACTGAAGCATCAATCTCGACAGCAAAGATATCTGTGCCCTATATGCAGGAGTCGGAGTGTGCCAGAAGCTCAACACCAGGCGGATATGCCCAACTCAATTGTCTGATTTACATCTTGGACGACAACTTCGATCCTGTGCCTTGCGGTGTTGAGGGTCAGATTGCCATCGGCGGCGCAGGGATCGGACCTGGCTACCTGAACAACACAGCACTCACAAACAGCAAATTCGTCCCAGTGCCGGCGCGATACTTGCCTGATGATCACAAGCGGCAAGGTTGGACGAAGATGTTCCTGACAGGAGATCGTGGAATCCTTCATTCTCCAGATGGCGCGATTCTCATCAAAGGTCGTGTTTCAGGCGATACCCAGATCAAACTTCGCGGGCTTCGCATGGATCTTGGAGAAATCGAGCAAGCTTTGGTCAAAGCGGCCGACTCTTCAATCCAGGACGCTGTTGTTTCCGTGCGGGGAACAGATGAGAAAGACGACACCCAATTCTTGGTCGCGCACATCGTCTTTGCATCCGGTGTTTCCCGTGAGCGTCAGGAGACCATCTTGGAGACTATGCCTGAGGCCCTCAAACTGCCCCATTACATGATTCCATCATTATTTGCTTCCGTCGATAAGGTGCCCTTGAACGCCCATCTCAAGTTGGATCGCAAGGCTGCCGCTGATCTTCCACTGCCTGAAGTTGCGGACAGCCACCTCAAACAGTTGCGTACACGGCTCAGTGGCCGAGAAAAGCAGCTGGCTGAGATTTGGCAGCAAGTCATTCCCGCATCACTCAAGGGCAACGTTGTTCTCAACCGAACATCCGACTTCTTCCTCACCGGAGGTGATTCTTTCAGTTTGTTGCGACTGAGAGATGAGATACAACGCTCGTTTGCAGTCGAGCTGCCGTTGGCCCAGATGTTTGAAGCCAGCTCACTCGAGAGCATGGCCGCCTGTATATCGGCCGTACTAGACCCTCGTCCTGTCAAACAAGAAAGCCAACAGCCCATCGGCTTACCCTCAGAGGATCACAATTACTCACTGCTGGAGGACAAAAGTGTTCATCAATCCGCGAAGATCGATTGGCAACAAGAGACACGGCTGGAAGGACTTCTCAGCAAGGGCACGTCCCCGAAAAAGTCACGGTCTGAGGGATTCACTATCATCTTGACTGGAGCAACAGGATTTCTAGGCAAAGCACTCTTGCACCGTTTCGAGCAAGACAAACGTGTGGCCAAAGTGCACTGCATTGCCGTCAGGCAGCCCAAGTCACTGCAAGACGAAATCCGAAGCACAAAGGTCAGTGTTCATCAAGGTAATCTCGCTGCACCCAGACTTGGGCTCGATGAGCATGTGGCAGAAGCTCTGTTTGAGGATGCCGATGTTATCGTCCACAACGGAGCTGATGTCAACTTCCTCAAACCGTACACAGCATTGAGGGCGGCAAACGTTGGTTCGACCCGCGAGATCATCAGGTTGGCGTCAGTCTCTGCCGCGCCAATCCATTATGTGAGCACTGGCGCCGTGGCTCAATTCTCAGCCTCCTCGACCGTGGGTGAGAGCTCGTTGAGCCCGTGTAAACCCAAGCTCGACAAGGGAGGAGTGGGTATTGGATATGCAGCTACTAAGTGGGCTTCCGAAGCACTCTTGCAGGAGGCCTCGAAGAAGCTGGAACTTCCTGTCACCATTCATCGCCCAACCAACATCACTGGAGACGGCATCAACAACCCAGCTGCTACAGATCTTGTGGACAGTCTTCTCGCGTTCTCACGTAAGATAGCCGCGGTGCCCATCTCGGACATCTGGGATGAGGAAAGCGAGCTTGACTTTGTCAGTTTGGACTTTGTCGCCGACAAGATCACGACAATGGCAATTCTTGATGTTGGCGGACAGCGCAAGTCCACTCGCTTTATGCATCACGCCGGCGAATTGCGCACACCACTGCGTCTACTAAAAGCATCCATGGAGCAGGAACTCGGTCGAGCTCTTCGAGCAGTGACGCTCGACGTTTGGGTCGTCGAAGCCGAAATGGCAGGGCTCGACCCACTTGTGGCAGAAGTGCTACTAGACACGGAGCGCAAGGGTATGAAGTTGAGGTTCCCCAGGTTGGTTCGGGGTCAAGTTGAGTCGGAAAAGCAGACGGTAATGCAATCCAAACCGGCTCTTTTAAAAGCCTTTGGTTCTGCGATCTCCAGATTGAACAGGGCAATTTCCATAGTATGATCAGTAGGTATGTAGCTATTCGTTTCTCAAATTCGGAAGACTTGCGACGTGGTTTCCAGCTCACAGTCCTGTATTGTTCACAAAGCACGTATGCCTAATGGTGATCTGAAGATAGATCCCGGAAAAGGTAGCGAGTCAGGATTGGCTTCACGATTCATCCAGGCTCAGAGTCTGGCATGCAAGCCGCAGTCGTTCAACATAGAGATGACAGGTCCAAGAATGCCATAGCGAGATGCTAGGAGCACACCGTTGCGAACAAAACACGTTGAAGAGTTGGCATGCGAGATATCAGATCTGCGGGCGACGGCACGGGTAAAGAACAATGCTTCGTCCAAGCTCTCGAGAAAGTGGAGGAAAATTGACACGCTGAAACAGTGCCGAGCACCGACATCACCCGATGCGAGGCGCGTCATGGATCAGATAAGAAATCAACAGGTGCAAATATGGCGTTCCCAGGGTCCTCTTCTTCTCATCAAGTCATTTGTATGCAAGGCGTGCCATCCACTACGATGCATGCGTTCAATAACTTCATGCGCGACAGGGCTCGCTCGCATCCTTCGTCTTGACGCCGGCTCGCTTGTACTAACAAACACGAGAGTGCACTGTCGTACTCGTGTTTATCGCTAATCGTGTACTCGTCTTCTCCACCAGATTTTCGCCAAGTCACATGTGAGACTCGTTGCGTGCACGACTTCATGTCGGCACATTCGCAGTCCACGGGACTCAACGGCTATCGATGTCGTTGCTCAGCCCTAACATTTGTATACGACAGACCTCCCGGGCTCGGCGACAGGTAATGCAGACTGCACTCGACCCCGTGCCTGAGCCTGTTGTGGCGCCATATCATGGCACTGTTCTGAGATGACAGTGCACAATCCGCCGCCGTAAACGTACAAGTGCGACTCTTGCAGACGACACATTGGGAGTTCGACGCACTTGGCTACGGGTCCTGCATGGAGACGCATGCAATGTTTTGCAGATCAGTCGCACGAACAATAAAAGCTTAGGCGAACGGACTGCTGCTGCCGCCTTCGAAGCTATCTTTGAAAAAGCTGTGAGTAGGGCACGACCGTATAAGAAGCTTCTGAAGGTCCGTCCTCGCTTCAACTCGACTGCTCGTTCCCTCTTGCAAGCTCTCACATGATGCGTTCAAACTACTCAAGTAATACGTAATCTTCGGAGGCACCCCCACTCAGTTCTGACCCCACAGATTGATTGATTGATTGATTCAATTGATCAGGCTACTTGGTTCTACGGCAAACCTATAAGCCGTCTCCTATTAGTTCTTCCTTCTTCGTCCCTATCTGTCCTTATTCCATTCTAGCTTCCCCTTTACGAATTCACCCTAACTACAATCCGACGAAGGAAGTGACTCAATTCCATTAAAACCCCGCCCGGCGTCGCTCGTCTTAGTACGTGGACAGGACTTAATTCCATTAAAACTTGGCACTTAATTCCTTTAAACTTAACACACTCTAATCCGGCCAAATTTCCGACAGAAAATAGAACATATTAATCCACTCGAC